TTATTTGCTCGAATTATAGTTTGTATAAAATGATATTATACGAAACCACTTGTAACTAAGTCAAAATGTCGTGGTGGTTTGCGCCTAATCTGATCTGCAAAGGTCTAATCTAGTTTTAGATTAACGTAGTTCACGAGTAGACGTGAATTGGCAGATGTCATATATCGTCATAGTTGCTAATCTTTGTTGCAGCAGAATTGTTGTCGTATTTCAGTACCGGAGATCGACACACAGATAATTGTTGGAAGGATGTTTGTCCATGTATTTGTGCAAGGAAAAATAAACGATTACAGCGGATTCCTCACTTCTTCCATCTTCCTTTCATTATATATCATAAATTGTCGTAATAATTGCTTAAGTCAATTGCAATAATGTCATAAATGAATAGAAAATTGCAATCGTATTGACACTATTTCATAGGTATCTGCATCCGAATTTAAACTTATATTTTATCGTGCAAAACTCAAATGCAGTATTTTGTTCATTCTTAATTAGGTACCCGTTAATTGGGTACAAAATGAGACACGGTTAAGGGAAAGAGTAGTTGACGTTTGAAGTTTTGGATATACATAATATATTTGTTATATGTGGTACCTTACGAACATATATATATATATATATATATATATATATACGCGCAAGCGTTTATTTGAATAAATGTATTTTTGTTTTGATTTGATTTGATTATATGAGACCATTCTCGTAATGTAATTACTATTGCTAACTAATGATGTTATACACTATACTGCTAACAACAGAAAATTTTTAAAAACAATCATAGAAATATAAATTAAATGTCAGATTGTATCATTTCTAATATGTCGCAGTCAGTTAATGTGTTATTGTCGCCACCTGAATTTGTATACAGGGTGGTCCAAAGATTTTAAATGAACTAACAGAAGATTTGCCTTAAGTGAAACTATTGCACTTTCGTGTTTCGTCTGTGTTGAGAGAAGTAACCAGGCCTCTCCCTTTTTAACAGTGGCAAAGGTCCACGAGCCAAGACATGAGTAACATCAAACCATTACAGGCAGTAAAACTGACATATATCTATTCATAGTATGTAATTAAAGTCAAAACTTTCTTTGTTATCATTCTGTACTAGAAATCGTAATATTTAAGAACAATTATGAAAAAAGAGAAAAAACTTTACGGAATTTTATACCTTTTCCACCGTTGAAAGCCGAGAATACTATTTTCGTTTTAATTTATTATATTATATCGATAGATATCTATATCATGTAGATATCTATATATCTTTATTTTATTATACTGTCGAATTATTCTAAATATGTTATAATTTTAAGGAGCTACATATTCTCCAGTAGGGAGGAGATTTATTGCGATATAACTCAAGAGTTAGTCATACTTTAGTATACTCGGAAGCATCTTAACTCTAAACTTGTTTTACAACAACGCTTGGGGGGCTTTCACATAGTAACAAGTGTGACCGAGGAACGCCCGCAAAGATTACAAGTCGAGCGTCTGGCGATTTAAGTTTCCACACAGTTGTGTACAGAAACTCAATTATCTTATACGTTAAACAGAAGCTTTAGTTAAAGCCTCGGTTCGTCGATATAAGCGATCTTTAGAGATGCCTACGTAGTAACAGATCTTTTAATGTAATCTTCGGAACATTCTATTTTCTAAAAGTATATTTATTCATGACAAGTAAATGAACAGCAGTGCAGTAAAGTACTCTTTAATATAAAATTAAAATCTTTAATACTGCTAATCTCTGCACTTACGATTTAACATTAAAATTTGTAGTAAAAGTGCGAAAAGATTGTCGCCGCTGTGGGAATCGAACCCACGTCTCCCGCATTCGCGGCCTGACGCTTTAGCCACTAAGCTAAACGGCTGATTGCCACACCGACGAAAATCTTAACGTATTTTATCTACATTGTTTTTATAGCATTTGAAGCAACGCAGCACAGCACAGCACACAGGCACAGCGGCGGCAATCTTTTCGCACTTTTTGTACAAATTTTAATACCCTTTAATATCTTCTGCACAACGGCTTTTATGAAACTTAAACCTTTGCCTTTTCATCAATGCAATATATCAATTTGTGTTAAGCTTGATTCGTTATAATATAATGGGAGGCAGACCAGTTATACCCGAAAAAACTTATAATAAAAAATGTTTCTATAATTTTCTTTCGGAAAAACACAGTCGCCGCAAAAGCGAAAGAAGAATGACCTACTTATTTTTAAAATAACCAATTAAATTAATTTTGACAAACTGAATCGCTCTGCTGGAAAATTAATACCGTCCACCCGATAACTTCTCACAATTCAGCTCGGGTTTTAATAAAATGCTCTTTATGAGGGTCGTTGGTAAATTTTGTTTCGAGAAGAATTGTGATCGAAACATGATCCTCCAATATAATAAAAACGATGTACTATGTAAAACTAGTCTTGGAATGGGTAAAATGCAAAACATTTTGCATGATTAAAAAGTCAAGGTTTAACGGAAGACCGAAAAAGACTGCGTGTCGAGTTGTGTCGCAAAATGCTATCATAAATGTTCATAAAAAGTTACTCGGCGCAAGGAGGTCAGTCATTGACGGTCTAAAATATAGTGACAGGTATAGGTGTACTGCTACCTAAATGTACTGTTTGAACCAAAAAAGCAGTAGTTAAAATCACTACAAGTCGCATAGCCCTACCACAGTTAAACTTCCAGTGCGGACATTCACCGTTAATAAAAGAATTTTAATACGGAAAATTAAAATTACAGATTTGCACAAATTGAATAATGAAGTAACATAAAGTCCAAATTCTTTGTTTTTATTAGAGCATTGTTTAACCAATAAAAATAATTTAATACAGAAAAAATTAAATGAAATACAGAAAATGTTAATCACCCTTATGATACAACGTTCCACTCGCATATGCACGTATTTTTGAAAAAAAAATACAGAACGAAATAGAAAGAACTTTCTTATGCCGTAATGTAGACATTTCGTGTTAAACTATGCATGAGTAATTGTATTTCTATATTTTTTTTATCAACAGGCGGGTTAAAGTAGCAAATAGTATATTATTGGAATAGCAATCGTTATCAAAGCAAAAAACCGGCCAAGTGCGAGCCGGACTCACGCACACAGGGGTCTCGTACCATTATCTATAAAAACGTCAAAAATCATTTCTTTTGTATGAGAGCCCCACTTATTTTTTTTTTAGTATTTGTGGTTATAGAGGCAACAGAAATACATCATCTGCGAAAATTTCAACTGTCTAACTATCACGGTTCATAACAGACGGAGAGACAGACAGACAGACATACAGAGAGTCTTAGTAATAGGGTCCCGTTTTACTCTTTGGGTACGGAACCCTAAAAATGACGACTAACTGAACACAGCACGACTACGTCACCAAATTTTTATCCACAGCTATTTCCTATCCAGCGTCATGTGACAACAAGAAAACGATAATACGCCAATTCATCAATGTCCAGACCTTGCTTAATCCGTCAGGCAAATTGTCAACTTCCATATAAAAACTGCCCCGTTCTGAGGCCAAAACCGTGCTTCATTAGAAGGTAAATGCTTATATTCCCTATTAATCCCTGTGATTGTGTCAGCGATTTCTAATACGATAAAGGTGACGGGCCATTTTTTTGCGAAGTGCAATTCTCAAAGTCTCTCCAAGCAAACGAGCTTATCTCATGAAATTCGATAATACGAACTACGAAACAAAATTACGGTTAAAGAAAAAAAATGCCATCGCTTCCGCCCAATCACTCGACGCGAATGGAATCACTCTATCTTCACACTACGGCGTACGTACGTGTTGTTTTGCCATTAGCGTTCGTTCCATTAATTTTTTTAACACTTTTTTTTTAGTTTGAAACTTAAAAACAGTGCTCGTTGTATAATGCAATCAATATAATCAATAGCAATACTATAAAAGGATTTGATATTGATTTCTTGTTTTTACGGGAATATTACACATTGTTGAATGAGACTATTTTATGGATTTTACCGTGTTTAATTAGATTTGGCAGTTGCCAAGGTATTAGCTAAGAAAAAGCTTACCGTCGGCGGTCGTGGTTTCGATTCCTACGCGGGACAACTGTTTGTGTGACCCACAGATAGTTGTTTAGCATCTGGGTGTTTGTCCACGTCATATTTTTTTAAACCTCCTTACGACACAGTAGAACACACATAAAAAAAATAAAAGTATATACGGTCGAATTGAGAAACCTCCTCCTTTTTTAAAGTCGGTTAAAAAGGATTCCATTAGCTCATATTTCTCGCAATCGGGTAGTAGTACGGAAAGTATGGAGAAGAATATTGCATTATGGAGAAGCGAACCGGCCAAAACCCTTTTCAAATGGAGCGTAATAGAACGTATTAAACAATACGGCCAAGAAATAACTTCTCAGACGTAAGCCCGACGCGCCGTTCCATTTTTGTTCCGCACAATATCGTCCTAGATATTGGACGGCGACGGAAAACCGATACGCTACGAGCCGGGGAATTACCAATTTGCTTCTACACTCCCGTCTTGAGGCCATTCGTGTCTAACACATTCTGATATTATTCCGGGCGAAAACTATTGGCACCGTCGCATTGTAATGCATTGTATTGTACGTAGTCCATTCGCCGAGATTAGGCGACTACGTATTAAAATAAGAAGATATACAAGTCACATATCTAACTAATGACTACGGACGCTGCAGGTCTTATACAGCATTTGACCGAACCACATACGCGGTTCAACATCTTAGAAGACGAACAACTCACACACGACACATATTAATGAACAAATCCGTTAAAAAACAAAGTCCTGAACCGAATCATATCACAAAGCGAAACAAAAAGATCGAAAACAGTTTCGCGTTAATTCGCGTTAATGAACAAAAGATATGAGTAATGTCGCAACACTATGCATAATCGTGCCATGACGCAATGACCTCAAGCCGGGTCATCGTGTAGTACACTGGTACGCGCCAGTCGAGCGGCCGTTCCAACCGTGTAAACATTGAAAGCGATGTACACGTCATCGATCCTACTAATCTTAGCCATCGCCGCCACATCGTTTCCGCCCATACGAACTCTGAACGGACCCTTCGACCGAACTAACAGTTTCTTCGGCTTCCTCGAGCAGACCTCCAGCGATATGGAGGGAGCGTTCACGTCGAGCTACGGCAGGGCCGTCAAAATTAAAGATACCATCAATAGTTACTTGGAGGAACAGCAGAACAAGATCAGCACCGAAGTCAACGGTTATTTCGAAAAGATGAAGGGACGCGGCAGACAACTCGCCGACACCCTGTCGTACGTTCCAACGGAGGACGCCGCCTCGGAGCTCGAAAACCCTGACGCTGAGTTAGCCGTCCCAGCTAGGATAGTACGGCACGGATATAGGTGCGAGACGCACACGGTGGCATCCAACGGCTACATCCTGAGTTTGCATAGAATACCCCATTCGAAGACTACAAAGGAAATATCATATAAGACCATACTGCTCCAGCACGGACTATTCGCCAGCTCGGCAGATTGGATTATGAACGGACCCGGCAAGGCATTGGCTTACGTATTAGCAGACGCTGGATACGATGTGTGGATGTCCAACGTACGTGGATCTAAATATTCGAAGGAACACGCTAACTGGAGAACCAACAGCAAGGCGTATTGGAACTTCTCTTGGCACGATGTCGCACAGCACGATATTCCCGCAATCCTCGACTACATAACAGACTTGAAAGGGCGCGATACCAAGATCACGTATATAGGCCACTCTATGGGAACGACTATACTGTTTGCGATGCTAGCCCTTCGGCCGGAGTATAACCAGGTGCTGAGTGCAGGCTACGCGTTGGCCCCCGTGGTCTTCATGTCCGGCATTAGGTCGCCAATTAAATCGCTGGCGCCTTTGGCCAGTAACGTCGCCCACATGGAGATGCTGTACGGCTCCCACGAGTTCTTGCCGAAGGACTCGCTGCTCGGGAAACTGACCAGCTCCTGCCACGCGGACCGTATCGATGGCAAGGTGTGCAAGACCGCCATATTCCAGATGTGCGGCGAGAACGAGGGGCAGTTAAACGAAACCGTACTGCCCGTGTTCCTGGCTGGCGTCGGCGCCGGCACCTCCTGGAAGACCATCGTGCACTTCGCCCAGCTCATATTGGCGCGGGACAGATTCCAGCAGTTCGACTACGGTGTTTGGAACAATATGAGAATATACGGTGACGCGACACCTCCGGAGTACGATTTGGCCAAGGTAAAACTACCGATAAAGCTGTTCTGGTCGCAGAACGACCTGCTTTCGAGCGAGGAGGACGTGCTAAGGCTCGAGCGGATGCTGCCTTCGACAACGGAGACGTACAGAATACCAGATCCGAAATTCAACCATTTAGATTATCTGTGGGCCACTGACGCCCCAACTCTTCTTAATAATGAAATTCTTAGTTCGTTGGACAAAACTTTTGAGAGAATCGACTAGTGTTCTAATTTCTATTTCTTAATTTAGTTAATAGATTTTTTATTGTGTACATATTTTTACTAAAGAAATCAGTATTTTTGTCAATTGTCCCGTTTATCTTAATTCAAGTAATATCAGGTTTTTTTTTTTAATAGACACTGTACAGTGACTTTTAAGAGTCAACGATTAACAGAATAGAGCATATCAATGATTGACCTACTCACATACGACAGCTACCTATGTATGTTGTAATTACTGGCAAGTGTGAAAAATGCTTAGCCTTTTGGATAAATGATCATTGGTCAGTGGGTCGTTTATATTCGATTTTTTATTTGGGTTCGAATTCCCATAGGCGTAGCCATTAAGGGTTGGGGATTCCACCCCTCGGAATATGAGTAATATTACGATGATATGTATCTAATTCATTTATATTTTTAAAATTCGATTGTCAATTTCTAAAACATGAACAGATTTTATCTAGTTACATAAGTACTAAAAAATCTAAATATGTGTATTTAATATAGCTCAGTCTTATTTTTTTGTCAAGTTCATTTTTTTGTTTTATTTTCTTGATCATCCCTGACATTAAAATCATAGGGAAGTGTGGCAACAATATTATGTATTCAGCAATGAACGTTTAATATTACGAAATCTTTTTAAAAACTTGATAAAAATTTACCGTCAATGTAATTTTGCTCTTACTGTTTTTTATGCTTATGTTTTGTTTAATTCACTTTGACAGCTGAAAATAAAGCACGTACATATTTTAGGCTGATAAAATAAAGTATAACCAACTCATAAATATTACATTACATTCGTCAGACGCGGTTCGTTGACTGGATGCCGATTATCAAGCATCTATACAGATAAATAAAATTGGAGTCTGTTTGAAATATTTAAATCACCGCTTTTTACTAAATGCTTATGGATATACACGGTAAATACACCAAAAAAAAATTTTTTTTTCAATTTTTGTATGTGACGGGACTGTCCCTGGCAGATAGCCGATGTAATAATAAGTAACTAATGCTACTCTTATTTTAGAAATGTTATTTATTTTAATTTCCACGCGGACAAAGTCGTGGACACAGCTAGTGTGATATATGCTGGCTTTTATGTAATTGTCATCCATTGCACGATTTCTTATCTGTATTAAGCGTTGCCAAAAGCCTAATTGTGCCCTGGTACGGTAGTATAAATGAATAATTTTAAATTTCAAAATATGGCACTGTATTAAACGAAATGCTAGTACATTTCGTTCTTCTCTATCTCCTGTAAAGTTTTGTGATTATTTATTTATTTATCCTTTCAGTACAAGTCTGTTGAGCCTTTCTTTGTATTCAATCCAATCATCTATGCATGGCTTGACTGAACAAACGGCGGTGGGTATAATTGATGGCTGTTGGAATTTAATCCATTAACGATTATTACTGTAAAAAAAATACAAAGATGTGATTCATTTTATATGGTGTGAGGTTTATATGATATGAGTCATAAACATCTACTTCTTAAAAAAAATAATCTATTTTATTGTTTATAGCTTTTAATATTTTCTTTGATTAGCAGAAGTTAAGCTATTATTAAGTGAAAGTCAGAATTTAAGAAATTTCAATAAGTATACCGATACATAGAGCACTTGGGCCGAGTTTACATCGACCAATGATGTTTTCATAAAGATGACGTATGTCCATAGTTCCATACTGCGCGGCGATTTAAATTGTTCTGCTTTACAATATGTTGTTATCTATTTAACCGTGGTAGGGCCACGCAGCAGCCTCGACTGTTTCGAGAATAGGCGGGCTCCTCCGGGTAAGTACCACGACCTCACAGAAGACCGGCGTAAAGTGTAAGTATAATACTTTCGCGTTTCGTCTGGTGAGTGAGGTAGCCGGAGCCCAATTTTCAAATTTGCAACCCTCTGGTGTAGCAGATGTCCATGGGCGGCGGTATTCACTTAACATCAGGTGAACTGCCTGCTGCCTTGGCAACTTGTCACATTAAAAAAAAAACCTCCACCCGAGGGGCCTTTGGATCGTGTCGTGCCCCCTTGTTAGTCGTCTATCTTTCGTCAGCAGGTTGTTGCAGAGTGCTGCGCAGCGGAAAAACAGCAAACTACACGTCACAACAAAATGAGACAGATTATGCATAGGTACAGCACGCGTATCATACAGCACGTATGATACGGAGAGAAATAGCAGTCTATAGAAATGCAGTCTATTTACACCAGTTTGTGTTATTATCATTCCTCAGTTTCGGTGCGCTAGCGATGGCGATACGAGGTAGATATGGATCTACCTCGTATTTGTATTCAATATCATTGACATCGACAAATGGCAAGATTGTTAATTTTTATATTAAGTAGAGTACCTATTTCAACTCATTGTCATGTTTCTACTTGATCTGTTGTGAGCTATACATTCACGTGCGTTTACACAGATGACGCTTTAAAACATCAATTACAAATGTTTACAGACAAAATGGTTCATGTCAGTAAAAGATTCTAATTGACACCTTACATCTGCAAAAATAACTATCAAGAAGAGCGCCAGGAGGTTTAGTGTGTACACTTTTTCATGGGAAAAAGAGGCAATCTAATGTAATGTGATACCGCCGCTGATAAGCGATGATTTACAAATTTGTATAAACCTCTTCCGAAACCTAACTTTTTTCGGACTCGAAAACGTGACATTAATTAAAATTATAGTAGACTACAAACCCAACTTTAAGCGAAAATCAGTTACAACTAAGCATATGCGTATATTAGTTACCAAAACAGAATTTTAGTATTAAAATTACAGATAACTACGAGTATGATGAAATAATACGTTAAATTAATTATTACTATCCAGGTCACCATGTCATTCAACTTTAGCGGCAACTAAGCAGTAGTTTATCGCTTTATTTTGTTTTATCATCGTAATGTTCCATCGATTCTTATAATTTTACAATAAAGAAATTAATATACACACGTCAATATAGAACAGCACAATGCATTAAGACACATGACGTTAAAAGACAAAAAGTCTGCACTCGACGAACATACTGCAAACAACCCCAAACATAATGTACATTAAAATTTGCTGAATATACGGGAAGTCGATGAATGCAAGTCTTTTAGGATCACGCTTCGTAGCAGTCTTTGGGGTAGGTCTATGTTCAGCAGTGGGGTACAACAGGCTGAGATGATGATGAAAGATAATGATTCTTTAAGACTATAAAATAGGTTAACGACCTCTCTTGTCACTATGTTAAACAGGTATCATTATGAAATCCAGAGGTGTGAATGCACATTTACAGCAATATCTCGCCAAAAATCCTGTTTTACTATGTATTCAAACTTTTTTCACTTAGCAGCAGTAAGGCCACGCAACTGCTTTAACTGTTGCATAAATTGGCAGGTCCGGCCGGGTAAGTACCAGAAGATCGGCGTGAACTGGAAGTGTAATTCTCCTGCGTTTCGTCTGGTGAGTGAGGTAGCCGTGACCCAATTTATTAAAATGTGGCAACGCATCTACAACCCTCCGGGTGTTGCAAATGTCCGAGGGCGGCGGTTATCACAACATAAGGTGAACCGCCAGTTCGATTGCCACCTTCTGACAAAAAAAAGAAAAACTACATTTTACGTAGATGGCGCTTTTTTCAAATGCAGCTACCGTTGCTTTCCTCCGGCCGGGTTCAATATTCTATCTACAGATAGATTTGGTAACTAGAGATCGAATTTTGACGTAAGTATTATGTCAAATACCTATCGCCAGTAACCAAATCTATCTGTAGGTAGAATATTGAAATCGGTCGTTAAACTTTTCTTTTGTAAATAAATATATACTACAGATATATAAACACCCAGACGCTAGAAAAAAGTATATCCATCACAGAATATTTTTTCAGCAGTGGGCATCGAATCCTCATTTTGAGAACACTCCCCTGTCTGCCACGGCTAGTATACTTGGCGTCGAAATCTGGAGTAATGTCCAGTTCCGCGGTCATTTGGAAAGTAACGCCAAATTGGCCTCAAAGAAGCTTGGAGTGCTCAGCAAGGCGGGACAGTACTTCACGTCGGCTCAAAGCCTAAACCATTATAAGGCGCAAATTTTGCCCCACATGGATTACTGTTCTCATCTCTGGGCGGGAGCCCTCTATTACCAGCTCCGTCCATATGACCGCATATAACGTAGAACAGCTAAGGTTATCGACGATCAGTCTTTCCGATCGGCTTGATACTTTGGCTCTACGTAGAGATGTTGGATTACTCTGCATCTTCTAGCGTATCTATCACGGGGAGTGTTCCGAGGAATTGTTTGGATTGATCCAAACTGAATTTCACAATCGGACATCGCGCCAGAACCAAAAATTTCATCCACACCACCTCGATGTCCAGCGTTCCACAACAGCGCGATTTTCAAGGCATTTCCTGCCTCGCACAACCACGCTGTGGAACCAGCTGCCGTCGGCGGTCTTTCCGAACCGTTACGACCTGGGAACCATCAATAAGAGAGCATACTCTTTCCTAAAAGGCCGGCAACGCATTTGTAAGCCCTCTGGTGTTGCAGATTGTCCATGGGCGGCTGTGATCACTTACTATCAGGTGAGCCTCCTGCTCGTATGCCGCTTTTTTTCCCAAAAAGAAAAAAACACACCTTCTGCACAAGATAGGGTCACCTTCAACTACGGCAATTGGATCAAAGCGGCAGAGCGATCATTAAACTTCAATTTCAAAACTACATCAACTTTCCACCATCCGGGCACCATCATACCAGGGTCTTCTGGAAGTGACGGGCGGGGGAGGCGCGGGTATAAAGAAAATGAAACCAAACGCCGGAGGAGATAAAATACGTTTATTTCTTAAAATTTGTCAATAATAGTTCAGACGCGCGCGTCGGGGAGTGCACGCGGTGCGATCGGCGGGCGACGTTGCCGCACTTACAGTCGACATTGCAACGCCGCCCCGATACGCGAATGCACATTAGCATTTTCAATGCTGTTACAAGCAAGTACTGAAAGAGTCCGCCAAACGGAGGCCTGTCCGGGCGCACAGATCTCGCCGCCTTCGAGCAAATACGGCCTCTGTGCTGTGGGCAATAAGAGGCGAAGTCGCTTGCTGAGGGCACACCGACTATCATCACCCCAGACGGCATACGCAAATTTACACGAGTCCAAAAATAAAATTGTAACACTTGTCACACTTGAAAATTAAGATTGTAACACTTGACATTTTGCGGGTAGATTTTGCTTTTAAAGGATGACGTCACGGGGGAAATAATATGTCGGTTGTAAAACAAGCGACATCGTTGCGAGCACACAAGACAGATGCCCGTTTCACACGATCACCGTAAAAAGTCGCACTAAAAGCTCAAATTAATGAACTGATATCAAAATTACTGAAGTTTTACGGCTTGAAGTTTTGTGCAAACAATATTGAACAATAACATATATGCAGTTAGAGATGTTTTACGCTATCATACTATGTAGCACGCCCATTTATAGACATTTCTCAATTCATCGCTAATATAAAGTTGTGACCATTTCTAATAAGAAATTACATTTTCCTGGAGTCAAAACAACAATAATTAATGGTATTAATGGTACCTAAACGTTATTATGTTAATACAGTCGGTTCAGACCTTCTGTATTAGAAAAAAAGAAAAAAATAACTGGTGTCACTTTTTTATTTTTTTCAACGTATATTCGATTGACATTTCAACGGTGATCGGAAACAAATCCGGGGAGATCATAGACCCATAGACAAGACAAACATTCCACACAGAAGCCTCTCACTAAATATAATTCACATTATGTTCATTAAATGCTAAAATATAATCTACGTGCCATACCTCCGTGTTCTTTACACTATCTACCTCAATTATATATACTATTTAGTATGACATACAACTAGGTGTTATATTAGTTTTACAATTTTAATTATTATCGTATTAATATTTTTTTTTTCATAATAATAATAATAATATGTATGTATGTATGTATGTATATTTTTTACACCTAAACCGAAGTCGATAACGAAATAAGATACTTGTTCCATCTACCGCTAAATCACAAGGCTTAAACTTAAGACTTATGCCGTCTTCTATCGTAGATCTTTTGTTCAATCCCCTTCAAACGTCCGACGCGTACAATATGGCGGACGTGAACGGCCCGACCGGTAAAATAAATAACGGCCTCGCGTTGCGAAAAACCGTTACAGCTAATATATTCAACAAATCGAGCGAGCGAATGTGGCGCCACCACAGCTACTAGTTTCATTTCACCGGTCAGTGTCCGAACTATACATGCCTTATAGTATAGAATGAATTTCAAAGTTCGAGTAGAGTGATTGTTTTGTTTATGCCGAGTTAAGAAAATTAAAAATAAACTTCGGGATGAAACGAGAACGACGCTGAAACGGAATTTTAATTAACGGTATCTGTTATCATTGTAGAAAAGACAAACGATCCAATATATGGAGACTCGCAAAGCTTTAACAATTTCTTACCGTTAACCGAAACTGCATGTTTAACTTTTGGTCATGAAGCATAATATCAAGATAAATAATTATGTGTAGAAGCGTAGTCACCACTAGCTATCTCTTTCTAATTAATAGCCTAAGGATTAGAAATGAGAAAGTGTATACTCGAACATAAAGAGAATCGACAAAACAACAACTGTACTGACCAACATACACTTAGAAAATTATTGATTATTTTTTAAGTAATTTTGTTTATAAATAAATTTCCTTTAAATCCTTTACGACATTATTTTCCATAAGAAATATACACGCGAGCTGGCGGTTCACCTTGTGTTAAGTGATAACCGCCACCCATAGACATCTGACACTCGGGAAGATGCAGATGCGATGCCAGGCTTTAAAAATCCAAATAGAAAAATGTTCATAGTATATTAATAAACATCCTTTTGCCTCGTTTCATCTAAATTAATCGAATAAATCGAACCGAAATATGTATACTAAATGCTTCATAATATCATATTTGTAAAGTGTTGTTTTGTATGTTCACAGTCAGCGGCCAATCGTCTCTATGACTGATATGTTTTGATTGGTGATGTGGTGTTGATGTATTATATGCTTAATATTATCTTATCTTTATATGATCATACAATCTTATATAGGTTTCCGTAAAGCTGTGTTTTCACTATATGAATGACTCGTATACAAACTGACCCAGTACGAATGCACAACGTTCAGAGAGCATTCGTGTAGTGAAAGCGCGGCTTAAACTACTGTATAAAGCAGTCGTTCCGTTTCATCCCTTAGGGAATCGCAGATATCGCGAACCGATTTCAAGACTTCTTGTAAGGCAGTTGACAATTTGTTCGATGGTCCTTAACGTAAATAAAGCTTAGCAAGAGACTTTACCAACTAGTGAATAGCGTTCCGAAGAATTATAAGACAAAGCGCGATCATACAGGCTATGTGTGATATTGCGAGGGACCCGGACGTCGATACACGTATAAAACTCGTATAAACTTTGATAAAAGACTGTACTAATTAGTAATTCAATATGAATAATAAAACGTCATATAAAGCGAAACGAATCGAGTGATTGGAGTTTTTATGCGCGTCTCGTAACTGCGTGTTAAGCGATAATAATACCGGACCTATGAAAAACCGAAGGCACGCCGGGTTATGCAGAAGAAAAATATAGAAACAAAAAGCGAACATTCAGTTACGGTCGATTGGTGTCTGAACGGTTCTATGTCACTTTGAGCATTTCATACGAACTAACTATCTAAACGCTACACGCGGTAAACTAAAGGAACTTAACGGGTTGTACGGTCGTCGACACGGCCGACGCGCCAACCTAGAACGGCGCCGTGCGCTCAAGTCGACGGTCGCGGTAGAAACTTGCGCGTTCGCGTACGCGCGGGCCGTTGCGGTGACGACGCTAGTGCGCGGGTGACGTCATCGCGGTGACGTCAGCGGTTTAATCCTATCGGGTAACGGAGTACACTATACACTTAACATATGAGCCTTCTAAAGATTACAATTAGTTGTTATACGCTTAAACTGGAAAATCCGTAATCTGTGCCCACCCAACCGGGCGACAGGAGTGAACATTTTATATATCTATATGCTTAATATGTGATTATACGATAATGACCTTACAAAACGTCTACGCGGTATAGGTATCCGAAAAACATTGTACGATTTTATTATTTATTCGAGTTTTTTTTATTTTCCGTCTCTTTTACACCATTAAAGTCGCATGCAATCGCTATAGGTTAGTTTCCATTCTAATTTAAAAAACTCTGCACCCGTTTCGGGTGAGCCTTCAGTGAATATTTATTTTATCTATGTCACTAAACTAGTCTTTTATCTATGATAGAATTTTCTACGTAGGCTTCGATTCAACAGAGCTACGCTTTGCGGAAACGTCGCAAAAATTTCACTAGACGTGCGATGAATTCAGATAAAACATAAGCAATACTGCAATAATAGCAGTTCAAAGATATATACCCTTCAATTGGTCCGAGTTCTGTCCATTATGAAATTTGCTATCAAACATATAAATAAATATCAACGAATTAATCAATTTAATGATAGAATTACTATAATTTTGCATTGTGTGAGTGTTAATATAAAAACTCTCACAATGAAATAGGACAGAGATGTCACAGGCAAATTTTTCCATTATAGACAAAATTTTATAGGACACCTTTTCATAGTATTGATAACATTTTTTTTTTGTTTTAATGAAATCGTATGACACAAAATAGTATATGAATATTATAAATTTATAAACTTTTATGAAACAATGGTCTATGACTTCTAACTTTGTCCCAAACAAATGCTTAAATGTCATAGCGGTCGATATAACAACTTGTGTAAGCAGCAAGCTATAAGATCCGGCTGCTCCTACAACAATTCAGATCGTGTAATGAAAAATTTTACACCAGAGCGTAGCGGAAAGACTTTGCAACACCTCCCGTTCAACGAAGGCTCCTTAATCATATAGCATTACAATATCGGGTAGACAGTCCACCCCTAACTTAATAAATACACCCTCACTCGTCTAACATTGCACTTGATACATCTCTCCAATGGTACAGTCAGCCTCAAAAATACTCGCCAGTCAAACAACACTAGTTTACGGTCAGACAGTACTAAAGTCACATATCTTAAGCTAAGCGGATAGTAGACGGTCGTTAAGCCCTATTGTACTTAAAATTGTGAACGAAAGAGTATCGCTGTATAAAAAAAAAACGAAAATAAAAAATACATTGAACAATAAACATAACTCGTCGCACTATGCTTGTGTGTGCTTTATTCTTAAGTCATAATAAAAAAAAAATAAGCTTGCGTCGTCCACGAATACACAGTGTAACGCCATGGACGCATTAGAAATTCATATATATTTTTCAAGCTGACCATACGCAGTCGCCGCGATTATATTTCATTATACGTAGGCGGGGGAGGGTAGAGGAGAGGGGGGGATAAGTGACGTAACCACTCCCCCCCCCCCCCTCTGGAGCCCAGGGCGCCCGCGAAAATTAAAAAGGACCCGACGAGGGGCCGCGCCGCGTCCGGCTCACAACTCGAAGCGTACCACTCGAAACGACACTTTATCCTTAGCACTGTAGAGTTCAGAATCGCGCGGCCGCCGTGCTGGGCGCGCGGTGACGTCACGGGGCGGCGGCTCCGGCGGGCCGTCAATACGCGCGCCTCTCCTCCATGTCGGACATCTGCAATACAAATGCAAAGTCAAATATCTACATTCGATATAGAAGATTATATAGGTATTACACATGCTTATCGTTTGTCGGAACACTACCACCGGTTCGGAAGAGAAAGGCGTTTGAACTGTCATACTTGGTCAAACTACCCAATAGAACGTTTGTGGGTTTCAAACTGGACCTCTTACTAGCTAGTATCGCCGCGAATGATTGCTCGACACAAAACCACGTAATCATTTACAACTCAAAACTAGAATATGAACGAAACCAATTTATGTTGTAGGTTAGGTAGTGCTATTGGAATTTTGCTGAGCCCCAAAAACTATTGTGTCGCGTGCATGTCTTAGTGTAGTTAACGGTGTTAGGGCGGCCGTCATAGTGGTAGTTGTTGTTTCGGCTATTTGCTTTACGGTGGTGCGGTGGTGCAATGGAGTGGTGGTGGTGGTGGTGGCAGTGGCGATGGTGGCGACGGTACGTACGTGGTGGTGCTTGGCGCGCTTGTGGGGCGGATCGTCTGGCGCCTCCTCGATGACGAGCTCGCCGCCCAGAGCGGCGCACCCCTCCTCCCCGCCGCCATAGCCCCCGCTGCAACATGACATTATGGCGATCAGAACACGCCCTTGGCCTTTTCTCTGCGGCCACTACGCTAATTTATGAGTAGTGTTCCCGTCTAGTTTTATATCGACATTTATCATTAGCGATGTAATGACATTTTTTTATTTAGGATCAAGTAGGGCAGCTCTAGCTGATCCTTAATAAAAATGCCTGCGCCCCCCTGCATAGAAACACCTTCCGGAGTGGCAGTATGCAATAGGCAGCACAATGGCATTCCAATGAGCTCTGAAGGGGAAAGACATTCAAAGGTTAAAAAAAAAGTTCTTGTACGAATATCCCTAGCTGTTTTCTTTTTCTTTTTGTTTATATGCTCCAACCGCTATTATAAAAGACAACCCTTTGTTTAGAAATTGCCGTAAAGTGCGTCAACACATACATAAAAACTTTGTAGAAAAAAGGAACCTCGCCGCTTAGCTCAGTGGCTAGAGCGTCAGGGCGCGAATTCCGAAGACGTGAATTCGATTCCCACAGCGGTGAGAAACTTTTCGTTCCTTTTTTCTACAAAATGTTAATGTTTAATCTTAAGAACAGAAATTAGCAGTATAAAAAAATAAAAAAAAATACATGACACTAAATATGGTTGGAATGTGGGCAACATTGATTTCATTTATTGTCTGGGCTCGGTTTAAATTGCATTCGTATCCAGCAACTTCAAAATGTAGACTAAGGTCCTATTCAATGGTCAATTGTAGTAAGCTATACCCATAATTAGGAATACGTAATATGTTCGTGAGAATCAAGGGCAGTTTGAATGGAGCGTCCTCGATTTTGGTGGCCCTTGTCGGTGGTGACGGTGGTGGAGTGATAGTGGTGGTGGTGGTGGTGGTGGTACTGACGAGTAGTAGGGCGAGTGGTGGAGCAGCACCGCTGGCGGCGCGTCCTCCTCTTGGAGCGAGACCAGCCCTCCGGCCCCCGTCCCCACCACGTACTTCTCTGCGGAATCAAAGTCGGGGCAGACGTTAGCAGGTTAGGCGGAACGGTTCCATTTAAAAATAGCATGCAACAGTTTGCTTCGCGCAAATTTTGGTAAACTGAGGGTGCAAAGCGAACGTTAAGTATATCGCGAAAACGTCTATAAAACTTGACATTTATTTCTAATTACAGGTCCGTATTGTGGATCTAAAGGATACTTTGGTAGGACCACGCAAGTCTTCACTGTTGCACGAATGGGTGGGTCCTTACGGGGAAGTACAGCGACCCCACAGAATACCCGCGTTAAACTTGAGGAGCGTTGCTCTGGTGAGTGAGGTAGCCGGGGCCCACTTTATTAAAAGGCAATGCATCAGCAACCCTCGGGTGATGCAAAAGTCAATGGGCGGCGGTTATCACTAAACTTAACGTCAGGTGAACCGCCAGTTCTAATGTTACCGCATTGTATTAATTTGGTCCCTTATCTACGAGGATCAAGGAACAAAGCTTTGGTTCATATATTGTAGCATCCACGTCTGTACCGTTCAATTGATTGTCATATATAAGTACATCCGTAGTTTGGATTTACACACTGGCTGTGTGCGAGGGAGAAGGCAAATATAGCTTATCACCTTCTCTTTCGCCCCCGGCACCGTTTGTGACGACGGTCATCACCAATCCACTTCCGCTAGCGTTATACGACAGCCCGTGACCTGCGAATATATTTCACACAATGATTTAGGATACATTAAGAAAGATGTTATTAGCGCCGTTATCTAATATATAAAATTCTCATGTCACGGTGTTTGTAATTGAACCCCTCCGAAACGACTCGACCGATTTTCGTGAAATTTGGTGTGCGTATCGGCCAGGGTGGAGAATCGGACAACATCTATTTTTTCATCCCCCTAAATGTTGAGTGTGGTCCACCCCAAACATTTTTTTCTACCCTACAAATAATTTATATGGCAAAACAACGTTAGCTTACAGCTAGTTATACATATGGAGTCTGTTGTTTTTATGATATAAAGTGATTGTTGTTCCGTAACCTAATTGGATTCTGTTGTCTTTGCCAGTATCCGTTTCTTTGTAGTAATTACCTTTGTCCTTCTTAGTTCTTCCTTTGTTTCTATTATTCAAAGACAATAATTGTATGAAAAACCTGTGATTGTTATCACAGGCCATCCTAGTTGTTATTAGACGTAGGGCAGAAATTATAAATAGCGGAATTGTGCTGTGCTCATGGCAATGCTAGTTGTGGTTCACTGCTGCTATTGTTGATGTAGGTTTTTTATATATGAAAAACGCGCAAGTGATTCACTGCTTGACTGATGGTAGATGACTAGCGCCACCCATAGGGATATACAACAACGGAGGGGTTCAGATAAGTTGCCAAACTTTAAAAAAAATTTGGTTCCTGTTACCTCACTCAACAGACGACACCCAAAAGTACACTCCGGTCTTCTGTGAGGTCGTGGTACTTACCCGGACGCACCTGCCCATTCGTGCAACAACGGACGCTGCCGCTGCGACATTATGCCTATGATTTTTGGTGCTGTTTACTATGTTTTTATTATATGTTGTTGCTGCTACTGTTGGTGTAATTCTTCATCTTTTTATGTGAGAAAGTGGCAAACCGCCGCCCATGAACATTTACAACACCCGTAGAGCTGCCACCTTTTAATAAAGTAGGCACCGATTACCTCGCTCACCAGACGAAACGCAGGAGTATACCACTTCCACTTCACGCTGGTCTTCTGTGAGGTTGTGGTACTAACCCGGACGGACCTGCCCATTCGTGCGAATATTGCTGTGTGGCCACAGTTGTATGATATACATGTTTCGTTTGTTGTTGTTGTTGTTGTTGTTGTTATTTTATTGTTGTTGTTGTTGTCGTCACCGCCGTACCTGGCGAGCCGGGCGCGCTCTGGCTGACGCCGCTGCGCTGCGGGAACAGATACTGCGAGGACTGGCCGCCGCCGTTGTTGTTGTTGCTGCCGCCGGAGCTGTTGTTGCTCAGCCGCTGCTGGCTCGTCTGGAACCGGGAGACGATCAAATATAGATAACGACACAAGAAAACTCGTCCGCTGTGACCCATAAAATAGTGACTTTCCACCGGTGCCCAAAATGTTTGTAACACAAAAAGATAAAGTAACGAATCACCGAATCAATCTATATACGTCGCACTGCTGGACAAGGGAGTCCTCTATACAGAAGATATTAGCATATAGTCCACCACTCTACGGCAATGCGGATTTGCGGAATTCACATATCTTCGATATATATTTTTTTAATTATTATTTCGAAAAGGTGCACGTTTTCCTTCACCGCTGAGACGTTTTAAGCCACTTAAAATTGCAAGGAGCAATTTCATTAGAGCTGACGTCATAATTATTTTTAGCTTCAACGAGTATGTCGCTCTAGTATGTACTATCATATATTTCCTTTTTTTTTTCTTTAATTTACGTGTAACTTGTTTCCGTTGCATGATTCTTTTGTATGAATACTTAAATATGTTGTAATTCTCCTTTATAATGACACGATTAAATAAAAAAAGTATTATAAAATCTAGAGTGAGAAGAAGGGGAGATGAAAGCGAGCAAATATAAAAAAATCAAAAATCCTATTCAACGACTACTTATCACATGAGGGAATCGAACCCGCTAACTTAAAAACTGACTAATGGATGTATTCACAGCATAGGTATTCAAAGTGTTGAGGCTTTTTTCACCATCAACGAGGCACTCCTCGTTCCAAAAAAGCCACAACAAAGCGTGGCGGGATTAAATTATTTTATGAAAATCATAAATAAAACGAAACTATTTTTAAACGAAATGTTTTTTGCGATTAGATGGCGGCCGGTGAAGGTTATTAGTTAGTTATTAGGTATTTTTTGTCGGCCCCCGGCTTTGTCCCATTAGTGGCGTCTTGTATACCTGCTGTTCGGTCTCTTCGCCGGTGAACAGATCGGGCGTTGGCTCCCTGGACAGTTCCTCGGGGGTCACGAGGCCCGAAACGCCCACCTGCGACGGCGAAGTGGGCGCGCTCCTGCGGACGGTGAGACAAGTCGTTGGTGTACAAGCGCGATCACAGTTAATGTCGATGTTTAGAAAAGTACCCTCCAAATTCAAGTTTTTGTCTGATGCTGGCTTTTGAAGGAAAGAACTTTTCTTATTTCGGAGCTCCGAACGGCACTTCATACTTTTGGACGACTTTTATTCAATTATCCTATTTCCTTGACATTTCTAAACTAATGTTATTACTCTTTAACAATCTAGAAAATAAAGTGATAACAGCCGGTGTATTAATTGCGCTTCTTTCTTCGGGAGGATTGCGGATTAAATTAACTGAACCACGATGCCAGCGCATGCATCGTGGTTAAGTTAATTTATGTACATAAAAATCAGTAAATAAAAAGCGCCAAACATAAATATTGTGAAATTTTTATAGCGATTTTTATAAAATAAAAGCAGAACTAGACATCGCATCGAAGATATTAACATGTTAGTTGATAATATTTTAATAGTCCTGCATGATATCTATTAATGTGTTTACATCAATTATGTAAATTAATATTATTACATGTTTGGAGTCGAAGACACTGTTGTTTTTCGGAATGCATCCATTATTTTACATACGTGGGTATAGACACTAAAACTGTGAGTGTGCGTATGTTTCACTAGTGCGTCTGTGTGCGCGTCGAAAAGTGTTTCTTTCCCGCCCAAAAAAAAAACGGACAGACGAACAACGTTAAAATACAAAGCCCAGTAGTTCGCCCTCTTTTATTTTTATACAAGAAGATGTCACGCGGCGTTTCACCTGATGTTAAATGATAACCGCCGCCCATGGACATTTGCTTCACCCCTAGGGTTGCGGATGAGTTGGCAGCTTTTAGTAAAGCAACCACGTTACCTCGCTCAGCAGACAAAGCGCTGAAGTCGAACGCTTCCAATTAACGCCGGTTTTCTGTGAGGTCGTGGCACTATCCCGGAGGACCTGATCATACGTCTAACAGCGAAAGCTGTTGCGTACACAACGTACACTCGCGTTCCTTCCCCGTACTCAACGTGAGAGACAGGTGGCTTTTTTTAAAGGGCACCCCCGTCTGAAAGGGACTCAAATACCAGTGGTATTTGAGAGTACTGCTCCCCCGATCTGGTGATCCTGAAGGTTGTCTCATATTAAAAAATGGTATAAATATCACGAGTTCAATGCCCGGTGAAGCTTTTCATAGTCTCTGGTATGCAAGTGCTTCCATTTAATTTAAAAAAAAATTGTAACCGTTCGTGCTTATGTGTGTGCGTTTCGTATGTGTGTGCGTTTGTTCGCCTTACCGCGAGGAGAGTCCGAAGGGGGCGCGGAACTGGACGCCCCTGGGGCGGCGGGGCCGGAACGCGAGCTCGATGAGCTTCCCCTCGCTCTGGGGGTCGATGCGCCAGAAACTGCCCTTGCCAGGCTCCTCCTGGCTGCGCGGCACCTTTATGAAGTATCTGAGAAGGGAACGGGCCAATGTCACTCGGATGGTTCCGTGGACAGACAGACAGCTGTTTGACGCACACTAACCGTGGCGGATTCGGATTTCGTCTGTGAATGCTGAAATCTCTACTCTAAGACATCCGATTGCACGCTCCTTTTCGAAACAGAACAGTACATATGTTTGTAATAATACTCCCTGAGCGATGGTAGTCTGCATTACTTACACGATAAATTACATTAGTATTTTTCGTTTTATTTTTTAAGTAATGCAGTTCTCTCAAACGGCATGCTGCTGTCGCCTCAAGTGACCTCAGTTTTAGGATGTCAGGTGAGAGATTTTGACTGTATTTCCGATGTTGCATGTGAGCAGACGCTCCGAATACTGTTTGGCCATTACTCGCCAAAGGCACTTTTTTTTTACTTAAGAAAACAAATCAGCTGTCGATTTCCATATCTTTAGTAATCACCACCGCTGAAGAACGTGCGGACTACGAAGTTAGACTGGCAACCTTTAAAAGGTGTTGAGTCGCAGGTTAATAGCAGAACCCGCTACCAGCTGTACCGTGGGTTGGCATCCTTTTTCGGGACCCATAGAGGAATGCAATAAAGGTAAATACTACTCCGGTCTGCGTCAATGCAACGGCAACATTTGGGCACATAGAGGTACGCAAAAGTACAAATGTCACCGCGGTCTTTGCCAATATAACAGGAGACGGCACTAGCAGCTGTACTGTGGTTGTCAACCTTTTTCGGGCCAAAGAGCACACCAGAGCAAATGTGTATGCAACGGGCCGTACCGCGGCAACTCGAGCGCTGCTCACCTGTTCAGCGAGAGGTTGTGCCGGATCGAGTTCTGCCAGCCCTTGTCCGCGGTGCGGTAGTAAGGGTAGTGCTTCGTGATGTAGCTGTAGATGCCGCTCAGCGTGAGCTGCTTGTCGGGCGCGGAGGCGACCGCCTGCACGATCAGCTGCGCGTAGCTGTACGGCGGCTTCGCGTCGTCGCGCGTCTCGCGGTGCTCGCGGGCGTCGCGCGGCTCGCGCGAGCTGTACCCCGTGTCCGAGGCGGCGGACGAGGCCTGCGGACACAGAGTGAAAGTCGAAGTCAAAGTTAAAGTTAAAGTCAACGTCTAAGCCAAAGCGAAAGTCAAAATCAAAGTGAAAGTCGTAATTAAAGTCGAAATGAAAGTCGAAGTGAAAGTCGAAATTAAAGTCAAAGTCAGAGTCAAAGTGGAAGCCGAAATTAATTTATTCGATATAGGCTTGCTTATAGCTCTTATAGAACGTCAGAAACACTACTACCACCGGTTCACTACCTGTACTAGACCTGTTCGGAGAAGAACCGGCGGTCTAGTTATCTTTTGTTAATGATACAACTATACAGAATTATATAGGCGGAAAATCAGCGGCGGCAAATGGAGTTGCCAGTGCAGAGCTTGAGTAATTTCAAAACATGTCCTCAATGTATTCTTCGACATTACATGTATCGAAACAGCACCGTTTGGCCGGACCGACGAAAGAAGGCCCAAGAAGACCACAGTCGCGCCGGGGTCGCGGATGATTGAGCCTTCGTGTATCCGTTCCTTACCGCGACCTGCACACACCCCTGCCTGTGGCAAGGGTGTGTGTGAGTCGCCCCGATCCGGTGGCAAGGGATTCATGACGGATCTTCCCTACGTTAAAAAATCTATGAAAAATTAAATCCATGGCGGCGAAGGCCTCGGCCGTTGGACCTCGGCGCAACTCACCGCCGTCCCATTGGACGTTGGCCGCTGGTGCTCGGCGAGGGCGGCGTAGTGCGCGACCAGCCCCAGGTCCGCGTGCCGCCGGCCCGAGGAGCCTGCGCCCCGCGGCGACGTGGGGCAGCTGTTGGCCGCGCTTATCGTGCCTGCGGGAGGGGCGGCCATTGAACACGGGGCGGGGACCTTGAGACTTCGCGAGACTCCGAGGGAAGTCGATTGGATAAGATGATGAATAGATATTTTGGGTCAATGTTACCTAAACAAAAACTAAGCAAAGCTTGCACTATGGTTACTAGGCAACTGATCAATATACTTTACTTATGTAAATAAATACAAATTATACTATACACCCAGACAGTACAAACATAACATGTTCATATTACAACATGTTTCTAGTAGTGGCGATCGAAACTGGCACAATGGGCGGTTCCACTTTACCTACTACTACCTACCACAGGTCTACCTATCTACTACGGCCACACACAACAAGAGTTTTAATTTAACGCGAACTATCATTATATTAATTCATTGCGAAGTTCTACATATTTAGAGACTAATTAAAGACTCCCTCTTTAACTTGCGGATAATATCAATCCCAAATCCAAATAATCGGGCCATCGGAGCAGATAACAAATACATTCTAAACTCCAACGTACACTTGACAACAAAAGGTTACGGACTACCTCGCACTAATAGAGCGCCGAAGAATGACAGTTGACCTAAATTCCCAACAAGGGTGAACAGAAAAAGCCTTCGAGGTCATCGCGCAGGGAAGTGGCCAATTCCGAGAAACAGTTTGTGGGTGGAGTAAAGCGAAAATACCACGTGCCGATAGAGCGAGCCGGTACACGCCCAGGTACCAAATCGCAGCTGGTCGTGTCTTGCATAAATTATTTTCTAATTCAGTTAAATTCACTAGGTGACTAACTTAACTACTATTATTTTGTAAAGAAAAGGTAGTAAGTACGGTGGCAGGGCCACGCAGCAGCCTTGGCTGTTGCACGAATCGGCAGGCCCGTCCGGGTAAGTACCACGACCTCACAGAAGACCAGCGTAAAGTGGAAGTATGCCAAATACTTTCGCGTTTCGTCTGGTGAGTGAGGTAGCCGGAGCCTTATTTTCAAAAGGTTGTCAACGCTTCTGTAACCCTCGGGTGTAGCAGATGTCCAAGGGCGGCGGTATTCACTTAACATCAGGTGACCCGTCTGGTCGTTTGGCAAATTTTCGCATAAAAAAAATAAAAAAAAAGTAATCTGAATCATGAGAGGTTAGTGTCCGGGCGCTCGCTTTCGATTTAAAATACTCGGGCAACCTGAGTCCCATCGAAATTCTAAGTGCCGACTTACATGTTCTCAAGGCGGATATCATCGTGAGAAAACCTGCATATTTTAGAAAATTCAATAATTAAAAAAAATATTCTTAGATATATGAAGTATGCCAATCCGTGATGGGATGGCGTGGTGGGATATGCGCCCTAATACCCTCTGTACAGAGGTCTTTGTCCAGCAGTGGGACATCTCTATATTTTGCCGGGAAAAATTGTCTGTATCCGGCAAACGTGAAATAAAAAACAAATCGGCTGCGCTCGACCAACATGCGAATGCAATTTCCAAGTCACAACTGTGACCCAGGTTCGTTCACCTACTTTGAGAATTGGGTTGCTGTTTTACCGGCGATTTTACGAACCATTGCCTACAGTAGAAATATTGTGTGATGAACATGGCGATTTTCTAATCTCTGGGAATACATCTATTTCCAAAATAAAAGTATGTTTAGGAATGTTTACCAGTTAACTACTACCCAAAGCTTGTACGCTTTGCTTAATTTAGGACTAGATTATACTTGATCATATCATTTGCAGACATATCATTTGCAGAGCTTTTCGCTTAACACATTCTGTAATAGACCCCTTTTTGATTTGATATAATATATTAAATCCAGAAGTATATACATTTTTTCGGACCCCAGTTGTCCGAAAAGTTGAAGTTGAAATCCGAGTTGTCCAATATATGATAAGCAACTTAAGAAATAAACCGATAAAAACTATACATCTTTTTATGCAGACCATGTGTGGAAAAGAAATTTACATCCCTGCATATATTATATACTTGATGACAATTTGAAAAGCCTTAGTCTAACACACAACACGGTCAATTAAATGAATCGAAATCACTTCAGCGCTTAGGCAAAAGTGTTACGCCAGCAAGTAACAAGCACATAAGACACAATTTCTATAGCACAAAAAAAGTATTTCACGGCAATAGTTTTAAGAGATAATGACCGCACTTCAATCGTCGTATGAACATGAAAGCGGATTAAAATAAGAACAAAGGCACGGGGAGACGTTAAAGAAACCCAGAGTCCGCCAGGTGTTAGTAATTACTTTTAAATTAGTTTTGCGCTTCGGTGTAACCCCCACTTTTTTCTTTTTTTATATAACTTAACTAGCCTATTTACAGGCTTAACATTCACATGAACAAACGTTGCGATCCCAATGTTTGTTCGTGTGAATTTTGGGTGTCGAACCCACGTTTGTAACAACAACAAAACGCAACGCTAGAGGTGACCAAAAAAATTGCGATATAATGCAAATTGAAGTTTTCGCCGCCCATCAACGTTTACAACACCCGTAGGGTTACAAATGAATTGTCACCTTCCAATACAATGGTCCCCGGCTCACCAGACGAAACGCACAAGTGTAATGCATCCACCTCAAGCCGGACTTCCCCGGACGGACATACCCATACATGCAACAGCGAAGACCGCCGCGTGGCCCCACCACAGCTGTCGTACCATCCGTGTAACAGCAAGACCTTTTTTATGTGAAAAGTTACCAAGCGAGCAGACGGTTCACCTGATGTTAAGTGAATACCGCCGCTCGTGGACATCTGCAACACCCAAAGGTTCCAGGTGCGTTAAATACCTTTTGAAAATTGGGCTCCGACTACCTCACTCACTACGAAACGCGGAATTATTTGTTGTACCTTCTTTCCGGAGGGTGGAGTTTGAATGACGAAAGAAAATGTTTTACCGGTGGGCGAAGGCGCAGGGCTCCGCGCGTCGCTGTCCACCGGTATGGTGATGCGCAGGGGGGGCAGGGGGGCGCCCGAGCCTCCGGCGGCGCCGCCCCCGCTCTCCTCCACCAGCGACTGGAACTCCAGACGTATATTCGTCGAGGGGAAGCGCAGCGTGCATCTGGAAATGAGCAGGAAACAACTGATGAGAACGGCGCTCTTTTATGATTCAAGGCAAACTCTATAACGGACCTGAAAGCGATCGTGAACTATATAATATACTAGCGACCCGCCCCGGCTTCGCACGGGTGCAATGTATTATACATATAAACCTTCCCCTTCAATCACTCTATCTAGTAAAAAATATAGCATACATAGGGACAGACAGACAGCGGGACGACTTTGTTTTATACTATGTAGTGATGATAGTGAATCACCGTCTCTTGACTTGAAGACAAATCTGCTATTGTGTAGTTGTCAACTTATGGACGTGTTTTATACGGATGCGCCCACTAAAGGACAGCGAGCACATAACCCTGTAATTTTGAACAAAGTCAGTAGTCAATTGATGATTAACATTACCCTTTTTGTTCAAAACAGATCTTTATAGAATTGTGATCATAATTTTGTTCATTGTTTTTATAATAATTATACCACTTTTATCCATGTTTATGAGAATAATAGTGAACCAGGCAATCATCCATGCGCACGTTTCGATAAATCAATATCGACTGAGAAAACGGACACGTGTTGTCATTTTAAAAATGTCTTCATACACGTAGGGTCGACGCACTCCGGAAGGAGTGACACGTTACGCCGAACCGAGTTTCCATTGAACGACGGCGTCCGTATCGATCTAATAAACCGTCTATTAAGTGCGGTGCGCGTTCCCATTGTGCCGGGCCAACGGTAACAATGTGCCGCCGCGCTATCTGTGTTTGTGTAACTGTAGTTGTAATTAGACGTCACTGGTGACGTCATCGCAGAAATTCCGTCCATAGCACATTAGTAGTTTGATATGGAAGAGTACTTACGGTTACGTTTTATTTCTACGTAATAACGCCACTTTATAACACGCTTTTGCTGCAACTAGTCCAATGTGTACTAAAGTTTTGCCCTCGTGAAATGAGCAGACCGTTATACGGTTTTTGTACCTTAAATAAAGCTGTTTTTTATAATTAAAAACATTTCAATTAAAACTTACAAGAGTAATATAAAGCGAAAGAATTCCTTTATTATGTAATGATTTCCTTTATTCAAGTAAAAATACTGGTAATTTGCAACATGAAGTAGAAGAAATATTTTTCACGATTTTTCCACTTAATGTTTCATCTAAAGTGCAGAGATTAGCACTATAAAAATTTAAATAATACTAATTTTATGTAAAGGTATTTAACGGATCTCGTCGAGCTTAATTTGTTTTTAAAATCGCCAAATATAGAATTGTAACAGAAAGACACATCTACACGTGTTCACAGTAGTGATATATGTGAGCATATTAACCAAATCCGATAGAAAATCTCGAGCGTGCTAATCCGGATGCATAACTTATACGGAATAGTTCTTTGAGGTCTAATAACCATACGTATATAGTTAAGCCAAAGTAGGCGAGAATTCGAAAAGTATATGAAGAAAGCGAGTGAATAATAAATAGATCTCTTCAACTAATCAAAATCACCTACTTAGGGATAGGGGCTTAATTTATCTACATATATTTTATAAACAAAAACCTTCCGGTGCTCAGAGATACCTGAATTAACATTTAAGGAGCGTCCCCAATTGTCCTGTACTTAAAAACCATTCTGACACTGACACGTGTATTTCTCTCTACATTATACCTAGAAGTCGTAAGTCATTATGTCGTAGATGGTATTGGCTAGTTTTTACGACCTACCTACTGTCAACCCCATTTTGCAATAAACAGCAAGATCCGGAATAATTATCTGTGGGTCACAGATAATCCTACTGTGTGGGAATCGAGCCCACGACTAGGGCCAATAGCTCATAGACTGTGATAGCGAGTGTTAAGCGCGATTGTTCACTCGATTCCGAATCAATGCTCGGGCGATTCGAAGTCATACATGCCAAGGCGAGGGTTTCGCCGTTACACGTATGGGCAGGTCCGTCGAACGACCTCACAGAAGGCCGTCGTGGTGTGCAAGTGTCACAGTTATGCGTTTCGTCTGGTGGGCGAGGGCCGGGGCGCACTTTATCAAAAGGTGTTGCAAATGTCGATGGGCGGCCGTTGTCACTTAACAACCGCTCTCGCATAAAACCCGCTCGCGTGTCCCGAAGCGGCGCGTGAACAACAAACGAGCCGGTCTATCGGCGCAGTTTACATATTCATTCATTATAAGTTAACCCAGTTACGAAGCGTTCGCGGCGGGGGAGCCGCTTTACGGGCCGGTCGAGTGGTCGCGTGCACGACGAATTATACGAGACGTAAGCAGATTTTTTTTATTTATAAACAATCATAAACGTTGCTGACGTTTAGCGGTTTTCGCAAATTCGAAGTCACGATTCGCAGTTATTTCGATGGATATCCACGTAAATAGGTAAAGCAATTTAAATAGAGGAAAGAAATAGTTACTAACTTATATCATAAAATAGGTGATATCGACAAACACTTAAGTGCAGACAGTTTCAAACATTTTGTAAAAGCTACCCAAATGGCAAGGCCTTAATACAATATCGAGGAATACATTGAGGACAAGGATGTGTGGAAAGGACTTTGCTCCACATTTCCAAGTTTCCTGCTCTTATACCTAACTAATTTTGTACTTATATCATTAAAAAAACGCAGTTTCTGGTCGGTTTTTCTCTCGAAAGATCGGTGGTAATTTTTGGACGTTATAAGCGAGCATAAAGCAAGCCTATATTCAATAAAGAAATCATGATGACTTGCATTGGCACGCAGTGTCGAGTTGGTTCATACAAAAACAGTTTCTCCGTGTCTGCGTATACACGTCAGTGTCGTGAGTTGTTATTGATGATTAACTGTTCTCAGCTTGGAGACTATAAAGCCTTGTTTACCCGTGAAAAGTGTTATTTCCACGATTCTGATAGAGCCAGTAGGGTCGAGAATATGCGTGTATAAACAAAGAGTACATTGTCGGTTATGGGCTTGTTTATGTGATTTCTACTCTTCATCTTTTTAGCATCAGCTGCGCATCTTCGATGCGATGCAATTGGGAGACGAATCGCGTTTTGATGCGAGAAGGTGGTAGACGAGCTGGTGGTTAGCCTGACGATAAGTGATAACCGTCGTCCGTGGACATTTGCAACGCCGTACGGTTGCAGACGCGTTGCCAACTTTTAACGAAATGGGCTTCGGTTAATTCACTCACCGGACGAAACGCAGAACACATCAACTTCCCGCTGCGTGGCATTTCCCGCTGCGTGGCATTTCCCCGGACGTCCTGCGCGTTCGTGCAAAAGCGAAGACTGTCGCGTGGCCCTACCACAGTTATCGTGCGTCACCAATGGGGTACAGGGTCACTCATGTCCCCGCAGACCATGAGCATTGGGGTGTGGAAGTGGTCTTGCACCCTCCGACACGTGGCGTCTTATCGAGGGCGCGTTCGGCGAAAGTGGCGCCCTCCGTGGCGATCTGAACTCTCGCAACTCGAAAGGGAAATCGCACCCGCCACGCGGTGCGCGTCTGTACTAAGGTGCGTTTACAACTGTACATTGTTATCGATTCGCGGATAATGTTTAGAGCTATGCAGATAATATAGCTTTTATGAGCGCAAAATGTTACGAGTAGTAATTACGCCGCGAGTGTTCAAACAGAACGCGGTGCGTCGTAAATTACAAATTGTCTCACTCGCACGAACGTATTATTGCAATTATTTATTATTACCTATTATTAAAACTGGTACATTGTCTTCATTAGTGTGCAACTAGCTTAATTCTAAAACTGATTATATATTATTGCTCTCAGGACGTATACAAGACGTTTATTCTTATTTCTTCGTTTATTATATTTCATAAAAAAAGTAAAGGAACAGCCTGTATAAGACGCACTATCTATACATGTATATGTCGCACTGAGGGGCAAAGGCCTCCTCTGATAAGAGAGTATTAGTTCAAAGTCCACTACGCTTTATCACGCGTTTTTTTTTTTTCTTCTTTTTAAGAAAATATGCACACGTGTTATCGGCACTCGGTCTAGCTTTTTGGGTGACAGGTCTGCGGTGAACGGCCAAAAAACGAAGCACAGAACAACCATCACCACACACGCATGCTCTCAAAGCGGTCGTGCGGTTTACAACATGCGATTGACGATGCGTGCGCAAGTGATTTCAAGCGAGGAGTCGGAGTCAGCTGTCTGTGGTTCGACGCGACTCCATCAAGGCCGCCGGTACAGACGCATACGCGAAACGAGACGCGGCGAAAGTGAACCTTTTTTTTTTCCGTGGGAAAAATCCCTTATGGATCCCATGCCACTTGATCGGGTTAGTGGCATGGGGTATGTGGGAGTCCCGGTGAGAAACGGGTGGCCACTAAAAGACCCACGCTGCACCTGTCTCTGTCGCATCGGCCGGGGACACGGGAACACGTGGACGCAATCTTCCGCTACCGGCGAAAGTGAACCGTCAGTTCACCATCTACGGTCACCAATTACCATCATAGAACAGCCTAGCACAGACACTTGATTGCAAAAAACAAACGTTGGCGCGCCTATCTGACCCGCGCTCCGAGAGACACAAATTCAAGGGAACCCCGTCTGATTCCCAGAAATTATTTGGCAGGCTGTATTTGCCTCAAAATTGGTGGGCAAAGGCCTCCTCTGCACGGAGGGTTTAAGGGCGTAGCCAACCCACCACGCGACCCCACTGCGGGTCGGCAGATTTCACGTAACTTCGAAACACTTTTTAGTTATTATTTCGAAAATATGCAGGTTTCCTCATAGTGTTTTCCATCACTGCTGAGCACGTGTTAAGTCCGCACTTAAAATTAACAATTTTGAACTCGTGTTGCTCGAGTATATTGCATCAAAAGCGAGCGCCCGGACAATGAAATATCACGGCTGGATCAACTTTGGACTACAGGTGTCGCTTTATTCATCCCGCGAGCAATTCAACTCCCGTTCGGTTCCTATAATCCTGCATATCCCACTAGCTGGCAGAGGTCCTTTCTAATTGCAAAACGGCGGGCTTCAAGAACCTTCGAAATTTAAACACAAACACATCAAATACTCCTTCATAACCCTATACATGGCGCAGTACGTAAGCGGAAAATTAGCTCCGTAACGAGTACAAAACGCGCGTCCCTTCCGACGTAATTGACAACGAAACGAGCTTTTTACTATCTGCAACGTTGCTATTTGGCACCGACGCGTATATAGAATGAGTACAACCCTTGTATTATAAATGTGAGTGTGTTGTGATTAACCCTTATATTATGTGACACGGATTTTTATCGAAATAGGGTGAAATGTAAGCAGGGTGGTATAGGCATCTTTTATCACGGAATTTCAGCGCATTGATTATCTACGAAAACTATGTTATGCCACGGGTAAAACTGCGGGCACAACTGGTAGTATGAAATAAATTAAGAAAAAGATATATCAGTATAAAGAAATATAACAATATCATCGCAATCAATACAATTCGGCTTTAGGGATATAATTATTCAAGGTAAATGTCTATAGATTTTTATATTTTATTGAAAGTCGTTATATATTATGACATTTAAAATCTATGATTACAATAGACCATTAACAGTAAACAAATTTTTATGCAAAAAATACAGACGACCTAGACCATTAACTACCGTAGGCAGTTTCTTAATTCAAATTCCATATATTTAAAAGAAAACCTATAATTTTAAACAGTCATCGGAACAATGCACTTTGGGTCCACATACGAGTTGATTTTAAAACTAAATTAAATCCTAAAATAGTTAAAAGAGAAGACACACGTACAAAAATTAGGAGACTAAACATAAAAATATAAAAAGTTTACAATAACTGAGAATACAGTAACCACATTTCGATTACAAAACCGAATACTGGCCAAAAAGAAGGCGTGCCTATAAACACGACCATATTAAAAAAAAATATATAAAATTAAAACTGCACAGTCATCCAAGCATGTACCGGCGGCGGCATCGGTCGTCAAATCAATAAACCGGCGCGCTTGTTTACGGCCTCGACACGCCGGACGCCGTTTGCACTCTTGTTTACAGAATGCGCGCGCGAATAGAAAACGAACCCTATTTCATAGGCGATACGGTTGAAATGCGCTCGGTCGGCGAACGCCGCAAAACATTGGACTGAATTTTTGCCAATGACCGCATATAAACATAACGTAACGGCGCTAGTGGATTACGAAACTCTCCACGTTGCACTGAGTTGCATTTTTAGTTCGACAAATGGGAAAACTGTCTGTAATATTGAGAGGTAAATTTTCAATGAACGTTGCTGTCTGTTGGAGTGTACTCAAGTTACTATTTATTTATTTTATCAGCACAACATACTAATAGTATGTGAAGTATGATTTTAAATTGTCATGGAATATGTCATAATATTTTCACCCATTTCCCGTCATCCGAATAAAGGAATTTCGACCATGATAGCTTCTCATTATCATCAGCACATTAACATGTAAAAATGATTACTGTGAAGTATTTTTCTATTGAAAAGATCTTACGGTTGAAATTGATTATCGTTTTTTGATTCTTTTATGTTGTCATCGTTCCAATTCCAGAAAACTACATTTGCAAAAAAGTAGGTATGCATTCTCTATTCATCATTATGTCAATACTAGTTCAAGACTAAGCGACCCCATGGTCTTATTTCCCAAGGTAAGCAGCTTGTTATTGCCGGCCCTAGCCTAGACACGATTCTGGTTTCGTCCACTTATTCTCGTTTCAAGTAATATGATAAATTTTCCAGTCCACTGGCGACCGTCTCCTGCGGAGAAATACAGTAAAACCGTGTCCCTTTGTCACTTAACATTTACCTGCTGCTAATTATTAACCTTAAAAAAACTTAGGTATCGAGCGAACCGCTTCACTTGCTACCTACACCATGGAGGTCACCCAGAAAACTATTTGCCCAATCCATCTTCACTTTTACGAAATACATTCACGAACGTCGATGCGCTCGTCAATTCAAAACAATGACTACTTCACCCTTCCCCATAACATTATAGATCCAATTTCATGCGCAGAGTTGGCATCCACAATCTTGATCTCCTTGCTCGTCGTCAAACTTCGTCGTACACCAGTAGCACATCGTCGGCAGGTCAGGATACGGCCGCTCCGATCACGGCAGATGCTACCCTAATAGCGGAACATAAGGGCCATATTCGAGAGGGCGCTCTAGGATTCGTCGTATCGATCGCGGGTTTTCCAGCAGACTCCATGCGTCCTTCACCCCGTGCCCTTTCGATATTAACCGACCGCTTTGAAATTCCGCGCTCTTTTTATGATTTCTAATGATCCCCAGCTCAATTTTTTCCAATATCGTTATACCTACGATAATCCGGACGGAGAGTAATGATATAGTAAGGATATTACTACTTCCTTTTGGATGCTTTCCTTCTGCCTGCGTCCTAACGCAAGGCCATTATATTATAAATACAAATTCATATTCGACAAACGTCATATATACGATGGTCAATTGTATATAAGATGGTGGCAACAAGTAAATGATTTGCTTAACCGTTTACTTGTTGTACTATGGACTACAGCCATTAAGGGAATCGATCTACGGTAACCTCAATCACCAGTAAAAACAGCTAGTTTGATGCAAACCTAACGCTTTCAGAACCTACCTGATACGGTGAAAAGTGGCTGGCATCTCTAATGTCCTCCATCTCTCTCACTTTCAGAACTGTCAACGACATGCGGCGAAATTTTCATTCGTCATTTGAGAGACATTATTCGGTGGACGCAGTTGCTAAATTACAGACTCCTACGTCGCAGACTCAGATTAAAATCATGCGGATGACAAGTATCTGAATAACATACAGGTAACCGTGCAGTTTCTTGGTGTTTGTCCGGGTACAATTCATTTATAAACTCCCTTAACAGGATGGATGTCGTTGCTCGAATTTATCGCGTACTAGTACAATTTTTATGAACGAAGTGGCTAACTAGAACATGGCTCACCTGACGATTAGTGATCACCACTGACTAGAGGATATTCACAACACCATTTCCAAGGCTTTTCCCAGCCTTTAACCCTAGAAGCCCAATCATATTTTGTTGTCTAAAAAGCCTAATCATAGGTCAAATTTACCTATGTGAGTAAATGCACATATATCTTACTTTTTTTTGTTAAATTTATTATTTTATATCATTATTTATTTATATTAACCATTTCGGAAATGAAAAAAGCATAATTAGAATAATATTTATTTATTAGACTTTGATATAACAGCTATGACTAATTAATACTAAAATTTTGTACAAAATGAGATCCTTTCGGCTTTTTTTTTCTTTTAAACTAAAATTAAACAAAAACACTAAACAAAATATTTTTTTCTACTAAGAAATAAATGTTCTATATCAATAAAATAGTTTTTTATAATATTTTTTTATTTATGTGTGTATAAAACACATCAATATTGTGCTCACGAAATATTGCCTGTGAATATGTTTTCCGCTGTTTTTTATAAGACAGTTACGACGCTTTTTCGGTTCTGGTTCTTCTAGGAGGGCCTCTGGCACTGGTTGCGGCTCATTTTGAAGAATATTCGTTATATTTTCCCGCACTGAACCCTTCAAAGTAGGGGCTTCCATCCGCTTATTGAAGAAGTCCTCCCACTAGATCTACTTTTTACGGTACTCCAAACATGGTTATTCTTTGAGCGTAATTAACGTTGTGGTAATACAATGATTCTGTTTGATGATGACTGAGGTATATTTGTAGTTGATTCAATAGACGTATTTTCAGTGGCAGATTTGCCGTAAGGCTCAATAGACCTGGGCCTAGGGCGGCCAATCCTAACAAAATATTCATTGATGATTATAAGATATATGATGGGCTCTGAGAAAGGGGTGGCTGGAACTTACTACATGGGCTGATGCCTAGGGCGGCCAAGACTATAAATCTCTTGAACAGTCTCTTCGCTAACTATCTCGACGGTTCTCAGCTGTCTAGACGACACCATCTTGTTTTTTTTTTAGTAAAATAATATTTATTCGTTAATTAGTCAATAAAATACAACGTTAATCCTCTTGAAATAACTCTCTTTAAAAACTTAAAATAAAAGTAAAAGTTACACAAAGCCTAAACATAGGTCAAATTGACCTACAACAGTCCGGTAACTCCAATATGAAGGGATTTACCAATACTACACCACCGTCTCCTTAGGCCTCTTGGCGGGTACTAAGTTGGTTCGATCAATCACGGCGATCGATAGTGGTGTGCAAAAGATAAAGCAGATATTTGTTTGTGTGTAGGTAAAAATGACCTAGATTGGGCTTCTAGGGTTAAGTAAAAATGGGATCAGCTCTTGGAAATATACCCAAATATAACGGTATAAACAACAAATAATAAAGATACCTTTTTTGTTTCAGTTCGCCAGAAGAACTTGGTTGGATAACGTTTGACGTTTTCTTGAGAAGCATCAGAAACTCTCGACGCGAACTGTGTTAAGGCCGATGATGGAAGCATTTGTACGCGGAAACACATCGATATGCAACGCTGCGCCGTCAAGGCGTGAGAAAAGCTTTTAAAACGTTTTCTCACAAGAATGCCACATGCCAGAATGAGCACTTGCATGCACACAACAAGATCCATCGGCAGAACGACGACAAATATTTCCCAAATGCAATGCGACTTGCATTTAGGAAGCATTTATTGCGTGTCTTCAGCAGTGCTAAGACTACGCGGCGGCGTCTGCTGTTGCACCAATTGGTCAGGCTATCCCCGGAGTAGTACCAAGTTGAAGTAACATGCGAATTTGCGAATCACTAACCTACCTTCAAAAAACCTGGCATCTACGCCCCTCCGACCAAAATAATTACCTAAGATCGGATGAACCTTCTGCTAGCTTCCTTCTCACGTAAATTACAAAATGCTATTTCCATAAATTTACAGTTTCTTTTTGACAGGTTTTATTCATTTTTTTTTGTCTACGTGTTGGTATTTTGGTACAAATACCGGTACCAGTTTTGAATCACTTTTCTATTTAGTTAGAGGCTTGAAACCTTAATGATATGTTATAACTCCACGAAAATTCAATATCAACGATAACTCTCCTATTTATTTGCTCCTTACTTCAGTACGAACTTTGGCGATCCACTTTGAACTCTCGCCGATGGGGCACACACACCACATTATCTTCCCATTCGCATGTACTGAGCAATTACTCGGGACATTCGAGTCACGGAATGGTACTGAATATCGGCCGAATGTCTGCGCTCTTTGTGCGTGGTAAACAATTTGCGGCGGCGAGGAGCCGGCACGCGCGTATTCCTGCTTGCGGACTTTATTGATTTTGCACATCGCATACGACTAATGTTTGTTCAAAAACGAGGAAACGTCTAGTTAAAATAACGCCAACAATACGGTAGAAACGTTTTGGTACAGTTCACACGTCCAAATACCGGGAAAGTTTATTACGATTTACTTTGAATGATGGGGAAATGCAAAATCACAAAATTCCTGCATCTCACTCAAATCTCCTATATGCCAAAACTAAAAACTTACGATAATGAAGTAAAGTGTGTAATTTATAGAGCAAAATATTTAGGCACCATTTAGAAAACAATTTTCAACTTAAATATCCAAGTTAATATTACAATAGTTGTATTTTTATGCTGGCGATATTTTTTGTTCTTAATTTAAGATATTTCAGAACTGTAGATCGTGCTTTATTTTGGTCATGTTGCGAGTCGACATAGTGGGTATGATTGGACGAGTAAGAAAACAACATATATAACATAATAGTTTTTAATCCATCGAAACGTTGACTGGAAGAAATTACTCTTAGTAATAAGGCCGCCACTTGTACCCATCACTATACAAAGTAATAAAGTACATTCATTCATTCATTCATACTTCACCTATGTAAAAGTTCTATAGCAGAGAAGTGAACACATACATGTCTCTGCTCTATGCACTACGAAGAAATAAACTAAACTTCCTCGTTAAAACTTCACTGATGTGAATAAGTAAATATAATAATGTCTATATATTATATGTGTTCTATATATAAATGCAACTAGCGATGCTCGTATTTTCTTTGATATTCTTTGAAGAAAATCTCCCGTACAATGGTACTCTAGATCGGGTCGCGATGAGGAAACGGGGCAGAGATTTGAAAAGATTGCGGATTTCATCGGAAGGCTGCGATGGAGGACAAAGGGATGAGAGAGGCTCTCCCCTCGGAGGGTCGACGATGCGAGTTCTAATCTCGTGTGGGTAGCGGACGTGAAATCTCCAGCCCACAATGCGTCATGTTAATACGTTGCACGGGGAGAAACGTATCATGCTTTGGTAAATCGGTACCAGTACGTTATATTGGGATTAATAGAGGGCAATAAGCTTGAATAAAATTACACCGAAAATGCGTCTCAGTAATTCGAGGGATTCTTAAGTATAATAACATTTTGACAAAGTAATCTTCGGAGTATATAAGTCTACTCGAGGGATCGGGACGGTGCCAGGGAAAAGATGAAGGAATAGAGAAGAAGGTTCTTATATCTATCTTGGAAGTTTACTCACAAAAATCGAAGTCACTTTTATATTAAACCTAGACGAATTCTTGCGTTTTAAACTCCTAAGGGATACACATGGCTTATGTTATCCCCGTCTCACAAGGCATGCTTAATACCAACGTACGAGAAGACCGCTGGTTAGTCTAGCGGCTTATCGAATCAAAAACAGTTAAAGTAGCAGCTCAACCACAAAGTAAAAGTATTACCAATTTTAATACTACTACTAAATGAAATGTTTACGGATGTAAAAGTATTAACAATTTTACGGATTTTACGCGTTTATTTTTAGTTTTAATTCCCGACGTTTCGTACCTTTTACAGCGATCACGGTCCCCGTGACCATTAATTTCTTTTAGTCATGTGTGATCGCATAAATACAAGACATTATTATATTTCCAATTTTACTTTTCGTACGGCGAGTGAATTAGCCGCAACATCTCATGGGCGGCGCTCCTCAATCAGCTAGCTCAGTCATCAGGTGAATCGTTTAAAATAATACCAAATGCCACTTGTAACATCGACGAGTAACCGCACCTTAAGGAGTCCAACTTACCGAGTTTGCCAAAGAAGTTTCCCTTCACCACAATAGGGTATCGATTGCTTGCTTAAGTAAGTTAAACAGAAATGTCGCTACACATAAACCTCCCGTTACAAAGTAAACTGCGGAAGCGTACTGCAAATGCTCGAGTTCGATGCATATATTCAAAAGGTCTTTCGAGTCATCGCAGAATTTTTTTTTTGATGACCATATTATCTCCAAATAAATGTCAATAGTACATAGATGCCAGGTTACGCTTGCATAAAACTGAACAATCTGAACTGATGATAATACGTTTACTCCGAACTTAGATGAAGCACATTAAGAAAAGCTGACTGCTGCAGACATACAGGTTTCCGTGTCCAGAGTTAAGTAGACGGGCAGAATGTAATTTACGCATAAATTTTTATGCAATATATGTTATCACGGGAAAGCTTGTATGGACTAAAGTCCAAATATCCGTCGTATTTGTTTCCTTCGTCATAGTCTATTAGCAATGAGAACACAAGTTTTTCAAATTCAAATATTTATTCAATAAAGAAGCATTATACCTATTGATTCTCAAAAGACACTACTACCGGTTCGGAAAAAAGCCACTGATCTGAGAACCGGCGGAAGAAAATCAGCGGGACATTTTTTTAACATAATTTGACAAAAAAAAAACCAAACGTGTATCTAATATATTACATTCAGCTCGAAAGAACCTGGAGCGATCAGTTCATTTCCAGTGTGTGTCATAATTTAAAGAGCGCCCTGGAAAAACTATTGAACCGGCATGCATTAATGGGCCCAGCTTATGCCGTACGGCACGCTCCATTTGCGCACGGATGTACGCGGGCAAGGCTAATGAAAGACCCGGCTGTCTGGTGCACAACATGAGGAAGGTGACGAAAGAAAACATATGAATAACTGTGTATGATTCAGCCAAAGTGTAGAAGTTTGCAAGCTTTCGACTGTAATTGTCAAACATTACGTCGACCTCGTTACGAATACATTTACTGGGTACTAAAATGATTATAAACGGGCTCCGGCCACCTAACTCACCAGACGAAACGCGAAAGTATTATGCTTCCACTTTGCGCCGGTCTTCTGCGAGGTCGTGGTACTCACCCGGACTAGCCTGCCCATTCGTGCAACAGCCGAGGCTGCTGCGTGGCCCTACCACCGTTACCATTCAAATTCTTAAAAAAAATAATCTTTAAAAAATTAGAGTAATCATTCAGCGACGACATCGCTCGAGTGCCTAGCAGTGCAAGCCGTTCGTGAGAAATCGGTGTACGGTTAAGCGTAATTATATTTATCTGTAGAAATTAACCTAATTTCTTTAATTTTTTGCCGATTCACCTGGTGATCACAGAATAAGTGGGTCCCTTGGTCGGCTATCTCACTCACCAGACGTAACGTGAAAGCATCATACTTCCACTTCACGCCAGTCTTATTTCCGTTAGGCCGTGGACTCGTAGTACATCCCCGGAATAGCCTGCCCATTCGTGAAACAGCAGCTACGTGGTCCATAACACGGTAAAAACGCTTCAAACGCAACCTTTGCAGCGATTAAAATGTTATAAATGTTGTAGTTATCTTTAAAAAGGAGAGCGCTGTTTGTGTCGCGCTATACGGCTAGATCTCTCGACTTTTAGCGCACATCGCGTGAACACAACTTTTTGAGCGAAGGTACGTGCGCTGTGTACACGTGGGAACAGCAGTGTCATCGTAAATACCGCCAACCGATGAACGCGCCAGCAGATGAGGCGACAGTATCGTCGGACCGGAATAAATCCAGATAGGTCGAAAGGTCGCGGTGCAAATTCCACTGTCGACGTACAGTCGCGCGCGACTGGGATACCTTACAATCCCAAACCGGGTATTACTACGTTGGAAGACGTATCTGGACAATATATATATCCAAAATGCGTGTTTCTTAACGATGTCTTGTTGTACTAAACTTTAAACTAGGACTATTTATAGACATCAGACACAAACCTGACTAAAAGCCTCCCACTCCTCTGCCGCAAATGCGATACTAATTAACCCTTATATATTAAAAGTGGTTTAGGCGCGCCAAAGAAATAAACATTTCATAACTACGCTTCAAAACCGATACTCATCCAACTTCCGAGACAATCGAGTAAAATGGAAATACCAGGTACATAAGATAAGACCTCGATTTACACTCGGTTAGGATGTCGACCGTTTAGCTTAGTGGCTAGAGCGTCTGGACGCGTCATCCGAAAGGCGCGTGCCCGAATCCTAACAGTAATGAAAAAACTTGCAGCAATATTATCTACAAATAATAGAAAAATAATAATAATTTTCAGCTAATCCATAGAATTACTAGCGGCCTGCCCGGGTGCAATGCTGAATGTTTGTTTTCGATATCGCATTAGAAACCTCTTAAATTATCAGTGTTTCTCCTCTACTATATTATGCACGAATTATACATATAAACTTTCCTCTTTAATCACTCAATCTATTAAAGAAAACCGCATCAAAATCCGTTGTGTACTTTTATAGATCTAAGCATATATAGGAGTAGACAGACAGCTGGACGACTTTGTTTTGTACTAAGTAGTCATGATGAGTTCAATTCATTAAACAAAATAACTTTATTGAAAAAAATTAACCGATGGAGACGCGAGCGAATGTACAAACCTCACAAATAGACCGAAATGGGTCGTTTCGCTTCCGTTAATAGAATGCCGGTTGATTGGTTCGTTTGAAATATAAAATTTAATTAAATTTATAAACAAGCCTCAACGGCGTTTTCTAAAGTTAGATTTTATTTTCATTAAAAAGTCAACTGAAACGGACAGCTTGGAACGATGTCGATCCTGACACGAATTACGTTTTTAAAATAACTATGTTAAATATATTTTATGTTAGTTTTATCATTTCTTAATTTATTATTTATTTCATTAATTTTTGTCACAAATGGCAGTCGAACTCGCTCCACGGCACGCAATGGTTGACACTTAATCTATAGTCCCTTAGTGCCATTTGAAAGATAAACTGTAAAAAGCGCCAATTATTCACATCTGATCTTTAGTCGAAAACGACATATTTACGCAATGTTTTAGCAGGTTGTGTAAACAACTTGGAACCAGCAACCCTGCGTTTATTAATTTTATACGAGCCGTTTGCGTGTTGCGCACGTTGTAAGATAGTAACGAACGAGGGAGGGCCGTTTATAGCTCTCGTTAACTACCTCGTTACCCGCTATCACGACGGTTGAAATGAATGGAGAAGAAATAAAACATAATGATTAAAACTGCGTTTACCATTGAGAACTATATCGAGCAGAAGTCAGACAGTTAAGAACTAAATATTTACGCGAACATATTATCATGAACTGATAAAAGCTTTTAATAACAAATCGCGAACGGACAAGTTCATTAACGGCAACAAAGTAACTCCAATGGATATCTGCAGCACTATAAAGAAGGTACGAAGAGAATGTCGGTTCTCACATATCGACCTGTGCACATGACTTTTGACAACGAGCTATCACGGCTCTGAGCTCATTGAGTCCGGGCGATCACTTTTAATTCAATATACTCAAGCAACCTGAGTTCGATCCCCGTTGCCGGCACCAATGAAATTGTTAATTTTAAGTGCCGAATTATCATATGCTCAGCGGTGAAGGAAAACATCGTAAGGAAACCTGCATATTTTCGAAATAATAACAAAAAAGTGGTGGACTTTGCTCTAATAACCTCTGAACCAGCCTTTGCCCAGCAATGGGACCTGCAAAGGCCTTTACTTTACTTTTACATGACTTTTGCCCCGACTGGTTCTTGGATATTTCATGACCGATAACATGCCGAGTGGTATTATGTCATACTGATTCCGTTTCATTTCTGTCCAGAGTGCACAGAGTTCCTTCTCGCTTCTCAAGAACAAGTCAATAGGTCAAGACAGAAACTGTTTACGTTCACACGAGATTGGTGCTAAATGTATTATTGTATTTGACCTCAAAGGTTGGCAGCTGTTCTCAACGCATCGAGGGCTTCTGTTCGCGTCGCTGGTTCTTATTTGCACAGCTGAATGTGAACGTTATTCCGTTTCCACTCTTAGTTGCGGATAATTTCGCTAAAGATTAAATCTCTGACGTTTTGGAAACAGAAACGCGGGATAATAAGCTTGCTTCAAAACGAAATAGGTAAAGACGAAACGCAGTGTATTTTATCTGCACCAGATTAATCTCAAATTGAAAAACAATATCAAAGTTTTGTAACTCGGACGCCTCTTGCGGAGTACTCTCCTTCTTATTCTTACTCAATATTCTACTAATTAAAATTATTACATATTTATGATGTATGCTTGTATAGTCCTCTTATTTACATCAAAGCTCTTTTAGATCATATCTCTATAGCTATTGTCTTATGATCATTGATTCTCAGCACACGGAGATTCCTAACATGACGATGACGGGGTTTTTCCTGAGCAGTTACTGCCACATACCTAGAGTCTAGTTGCAATCTCTTTTCAGGATGTAGAACATTCAAGATTGCACTTACCAAGTAATATAACTTGAAATAAATATCTAGTGTGCGACCGACTTTCGGCAAAAAGAGCTAGTTTCGGTTTAGTTTCGGTTTCGGCGCCAAACCTGCCGAAACTACGGCCGAAATAGAAACTGCATTCGGGAGTTCTCGCACTATGATTGGTTATGATCAGCGTGTTAAATTCCATCCATGCAAGCAAGCGGCGAATACTAGCGATGGATTGTTGAAGGTTTTTTCGTCAACGTTGATTCATGTTCGTCAATGTGATGCTATCAATTTGGATGAATGAACGGATTTCATTTGACGCTGCGACGTTCGATTCTAAATCGTCTGACAGGTGAATAATTTATAAAAACAGTTTTATGAACACTGCATAACTATATGATATTTATTTTTCCGTCAAAACATGATCGTTTTATAGAAGTTTCGGTTTCGGTTTCGGCCGTAAAAACCAGTTTCGTTCCGGACACTAAATATCACCCAAACCATTGCCATGAACTCGTAATGTTGAGCTTTAGGGAAATCTCAGAGACGCAGCAACGTCTGCTAATTAATTAATAATCGAATACCTCGTGTAACAAATAAGATCAGATCCCATTTTCCCGCTGACAGTTTCAAAACAGTTACCTGAAACAAGAAATTATTTTTCATTAGATAAACGCGTGTCTCTTTACCTTAATTAAACTGCATATAAAAGTTGGAGCTTTATATATTCAAGGCATATTTCTCACAAATTATAACTACTCGTATTATCAGTAGGTACCGTAAAATCACCTCTTCTAGGCTTTTTAGCTGTAGTGGCAAGTTATTTATATAACAGTTTCTTTATCATCATATATGTAATTTTCTTTATCATCAGCCAGAAGACGCCCACTGTTGAAAAAACGACACTTTGCCGTTTACGTCCACGTTTGCTAAGTTTAAATTAAAAAAATAAAATTTCCTTATACAAATATGCGAATCGGGAACAGAATGAATAATCTTATGACTACCCAGTAGTTACAATTACAAGTCCGCTTAGCAATCGAACACACGACCCGCTGCTTGTCGACGGTGGAACCAATTGCACCACGCGCCAAGTTACCAAATGTGTGTTATAATTAAATCATAAATAAGTTTTAATAAATGTAGCCTGCGGTAACTTAATTTTCCGAGTGCTCCCCGACCGAATATTTGATATCTCCGGTAGTGAATTATTTGAGTTATCCTAAAAAGAGTATTTACTTATACGTCTACCTAGATATTATTCTGTCTAGGTATATATCTCATCCCAAGCCTTTAAAGGTACATCAAAAAAGCGCCCACACAACAGTGAATTGATAACTTGCGTCATTGGCGCACCCCAAACCAACGCCTTCTCATCTCGATAAGAAAAACTCTTTTTAAAAATATTTGTCAACTTGACGCGATATAATAATTTCTTACGTTCAATACTAGGGGTATTACATTGTTAAATTAAAAAAATTATATTAAATTAAATTTTACGGATTTTTTGGTTTTGGTTTTGAATTCAATCCCGACGTTGGGAAAACTAACACATAAATTAGTTTCACTAAACAATATTGGAATCAAAGTCACGGAAAATACTTATTTTATGGACACGATGGTTCATTCGCATTCTGTTAGTTTCAGCGCAATATATTTACACTAACAAAAGAACACAGAACACCGTCTGCTCGAGCAGCTGCAGTGTATACAGAAGCACACCATCCTTTACTAATACGGAAGCACACCATCAGGGTATATGGTTTCGTTCTGGGCTGGTTAGAATTAGCGAAACTCTCTTCACGGCAGTAGATTGGGTCGTGCGAGACAGGTCGAGTCCAGTTTTAGTACGAGAAATATTGATCCATGAAAGCACAATGCTTGGGCGCTCGTTTTAATTCAATATACTCAAGCAATCTGCGTTCAAATCTCTATGTCGGCACCAAGGAAATTGTCAATTTTAAGTGCTAGCTAATCACGTATTCATCGTCGAAGGAAAACATCGTAAGGGCACCAGAATATTTTCGAAATGATAAGATAATGTGAAGTCCGCCAATCCGCAGTAATAGCGTGTTAACTAACTAAACATGCTCGAATACCCTCTGTACAGATGTAGCCTTTGTCCAGCAGTGGGACATTATATAGGCTGTTCACTTCACGATTGCTCCACGGCCTTGTCACCGCAACCTAGATGTCGGAAGACGTCGAGGGGAATATCGGCCGACGTAGCATGCTACGATTACGTGTCGCGACAAGTTTCGTTTGCACGCGCGACGTAGCGGTAGACAGCTAGCTTGCAGATTGTATAACTGAATACAAAAACTAAAGCCAAATGTCAACTTCACTATGTAAGCATAGCTTTAAGTGTTTTCCCCTTCGTGACAGCGACAAAAAAATTCACAATGTTTATGGTTTTTTATAGTACCTACCTAAGATTTGGTTTAATACAACTTTAGGAAAACTACGATATAAAACAAACATTTTTTTTAATTAACGAAAAACAAAACCGACTTCGAATATCTCACTCTATTCATTTCATAATTGAGTTTCACGAGTTCCCCACGTATCTCCCGTGGAGCCCAAGATCCAATATCAATGAAATTAATATGGGACCACATGGGAAGCACCAGCTTTTAAATAAAAAAAAATCGGATCACTCAGTCGAAAGTTCTGAGGTAACAAACATTAAAAAAATACAGTCGAATTGAAAAACTCCTCCTTTTATGAAGTCGGTTGATAACTGGCGTCTGCTGGCTGCTCTGATCGATAGTCGCACGACTGGATTTGTGGCGGCGCCACATTCCGCCACACCCAACGTCGCCTTCCTGGGGCGGCGCCTCGAACCAATTACTGGACATGAGACACCTCGAAATGGAGTAGGACCTTCGCACTCGACCTTCCCGTAACCATCCCAACGTTTCTACATAAGCGAATGTACAACTGTGGCAGGGCCACGCAACAGTTTTCGCACGAATGGGCAGGTCCTTCCGGGTTAGTACCACGACCTCACAGAAGACCGGCGTAAATTAGAAGTGTTACCCTTCTGGTCTGGTGAGTGACGTAGCCGAGGCTAACTTTTATCGAAAGGTGGCAACGCATCTGCAACCCTATGGGTTATCACTTAAAATCAGGTGAACCGCCGGCTCGTTTGCCATTTTACACATAAAAAAAACATATAGGTCGGTTAACGAATTACAAGCGACATTGTTTACACGGACAATCCGCACGGAACGTCCGCGGAGGCGAAAGCGAAGCGAACGGTATCCGGGTACGTTGGATTCTACGAATTGTTGCGAACACGAAATCGCATAGCAGAAACTCTAGACCAGTGATTCTCAACCACTGTGCCGCGGCACTTTTGTGTGCCGCCAAATTTCAAAAGTGTGCCGCCAAAGTTTTCATATATATAGTAATGTTAATATTATTAAATTATATCATTTAAAAAGAAAAATATTTTTTGGCATTAGCCAACATTAAAACTAAAAAAAGATCAAGATTGTTAAATGTAGAAGACGATATGAGAGTAGCATTGTCATTTTTACGACCAAATATAAATGAAATTTTCAAAAAACATGAAGCTCAAATTTCGCATTAAAAATATTTTTATTATTAGCTTGTAATTAATCCCTTAATAAAGGTTTAGTTATTATTGTAGTATATATTATTTTATTTCGTATATTTAAAATTTTTGTCATAAACTATTTATGCAGCGTGTTGTAGTAAGTAAATAATTTTTTTCTTTGTGTGCCGCCAAATTTTGAAATCGTTAAATATGTGCCGCAACAAAAAAAAGGTTGAGAATCACTGCTCTAGACTATGACACATTGTGACGGCGATGCTAATCATATAAATGGAATAAGGAAGATTTTGTTTGTACTGCGGTAAGGGCAGACTTCTTCTGCGCTGTGATGTCGACGGCCGCTGCGTAAGTATACTCGACGTATTATTTACTTTATTTGTGATCTGAGATTACTAAGACGATGAAATTTATACATAATCGATTTAAACGAACGGAGCGTTTCTTACTGAAACGCTAATGCAAATGTTCAATTTTTCTGACAACTCGAGGCCAGATTTGATTCTAAGTAAGGCTTTCGTTAGAAATCTTTATATTGGCGTGTAAATAGAATTATTGAAATCGTTTTTAAAGTCCAGTGTAATCATGATACTTATTTAGAAATTTAAATGCAAGATATAACTATAATATTTTCATTTAAACTTGATTAAACTCTATAATTAATTCGACTCGATTTTATGTAGTCCTATTTTAGTTTCCAACTATCGAAGATTTTCTTGTCACTCGCGAAGTGAAGTAAAGAAATTTAAAAGTCCGACATAATTGAACTTTCTACTAAAAATGTATCCACTACAAATTATATTGATATACACCGTCATATTGTAAATCGAGCATATTCAGTTCTGATAAAATGTCAAAATAAATTTTAATTATTTCTACTTTGATCGCTACTTTTTTAATAGCGACATCAGGAATAAAATCTAAATAAGGACATAGACACGTGTGATAACGTTTCTGGAGCACCATCTTACGCCAATGCAAAAATAAAGGTTATATCGTGTAACTAATATCCATACAACACTATCGTGATTCAAAAGCGATCATCGACACACCACTCAAAGTGAAGACCATACGAAGGGCTAGCCTGGGAAGGGGTGGGGAGGCGATGACGTCATCCAGGTCACCGACCCCCCGAAGGTCCCGCGACCCCACACCACCGTCTGATGTTGCCGCTGCGCGCCGTTGCCAAAACAAAAGGCCAGTCGACGTCCACAGACACGCTAACGGTCGCCGTAATTAAATGAAGTCTACAAACGAAAATATCAAAAATATTTATTTATACAACAGGCGACGTTAATAAAGAATGGATTTCAAGAAAAGCTACATCAGTGTGTACATAAAAAGCAAACATAATAATAACCATTTGCGGACTTCTAATGACACTAACCAATGTCATACATAATAACAATTTATTTAAATTAGTATTAACATATCCATATTTTTACTAACGATAAACAAATGTCTCCCCCTGTATTCATTTTATAATTGATTTTCAGGAGTACCCTTTTCGTACCACCGGAGCCCAAGATCCAATACCCATGAAAATAATATGCGACCACATGGGAAGCACCAGCTTTCAAATAAAAAAAGAATCATCAAAACCGGTTGGTTCCCTCAGTCAAAAGTTATGAGGTGACAAACATAAAAAAATGAAATACAGTCCTAATTGAGAAACCCTCCTTTTTAACCGACTTCGAAAGGAGGCTCTCAATTCGAGGTTGTTATTCGTTCATTAAAAAATTGTTTTGAAATGAGTTGAAAAGAAGCTGTTTAGTCGCTTGTGCAAGTCAGCTTGCAATGTTTTGTGTCTGTCGGGATATTTGTAATTTCGTACGAGACATATCTTATATATATCTCAGTCTGTACATGGTACAACAGAACTTTATCGCGTTTAGAATTTGGTTTATAATTAGCGAGGTTTCAAACATCCTCCATGGTCACATGTGATGTGAAGTTAAGTATTTTACGCACTCATGTCACATTCATCAAGTACCGTCAACTTTCAGAGTCAGCCAGAATTCATTTAAAAATTATAGAGTACCCGAGAGAAAGAGGTTTTATTCTACTTGACATGACTTAATCCATTAACGCGAGTGCAATATCAAATGGCAATACATAAATAGATCATAAACATATACATATATTATGTTTGTAGCTTCATCGCAGACTTGTTGATACACGAAATGTCTTTGTGTCCTTTTCGTCAAACAAAGAGTCCGTCTGTCCATCTAGCTGTTTACCAAGATTAATATTACCCATTTGCCTCGATGCACAGAGCGTTTGGACTTTGTTTACTACATCACTCAACGCAAAAGACTGGGGCTTTATTAGAGATAATACCAATTTGGCTTCGGTTGCCCTGCGTTTAATAAAATATACAGGCGGTTGACCAACTTGGGGAGAGTAGAAGCGTCAATAAGGATATATTTTAGTTATTGGTTTCACGACAGTTTGATTACAGCTTTTTTATGAAATGTTTTAAAAACATAGGCGACGAATATTCGTCGAATTTCTATTGTCCTTCGGTTTAATAGACCAAAATGGGTCAATACGTAATGTGTTATTCAAACAGAAATACAATAATTTGTATTTTGCGGTTTCTTGGTATAATTAATATCCAAACTCCCGAAACGTATTAGTATCACTTCGATAGTTTAAACTGCAATCATCGCTATACTAAATCCAACAGCAAGTTTCAATCAAACCCAACAGTTTGAGGAGCACAGATAAATTAAGCACAGGCACAGATAAAAAATAAAACAATATCACGTAAGCCTAGAACGCCGTCGAAATATATATTATTCACGAGATTTAGCGTGTTGTCTTCGTATCTAGTACCTAGGGGCCGTCTTGACACGCTCACTGCTTGCCTTTGTTGTTTTTTTTTTTTAGTCACAACGCCTTGCGCCAATTTTAAATATAGGCCGGCCTTTGTCTGGCGTCCTTTTTATTCGACGTCGTTAAGTATTCGTCTAACTATTGTAATGAGGTTGCACAATACTTTATAGAGTTTATGTGAATAGCCGCTGAACAGATAAACCACGGCAATTAAGTAGTGTCTCATATGAAGCAACATATTGGGACCTTCTACTAGACATTAAAGGCGAGTGACGACTTGATCTGATGTGACCCGGCACCACGGAGGAATCCATTTAAAAAAAAGTGTTCCGTTCACAATACTGAAGAACGAAAATACGAATTAGACAAGTCCTGATTTAGTATTTTATATTTCGAACGATAAAATCGAAACAGTTTACGGAAGCGGCAGAGGTCAAAGTCAAAATTGCTTTATGTAATATAGGGTCGGTTTGGGCTCTTATTATAGTTTACTAAATATACGATTAACTGTCCACAGAAGTAGCGGCAAAAAACTCTGCTATGCTTACTATTGTTGTATTTTTTTTTAAGAATGCTCGCTCGCTCGCTATTGATATCATCGTACTAAAAACAACTCGTGTCCTACACCGCTACATGTGGGGACGTTAATAATCGACTGCATTTTTAAGCAACTGCGCTGAAGGGTGGCGTCATGGGGAAATCCGTGTGATTTGCTGTTATTATGGTACTTTTATTGCACACACAAGTACTTGTTTGTCACCAAAGAGGTAGACAGGGGGAAGGCGCAGCTTACCGCTGCAGCATCAAGCTCATATGTATGAATGAGTGTCAGTAAATAAACACTCACACATGCATACCAGTGGGGTGATTTAAGATTATTTCTATTATCCTCCTTCCTTGCGCGTCTCCTTTACCAATTTCATTTATTTGTAGGGTAGAAAAAAGTTTTGGGGTGGACCACCCTTAACATTTAGGAGTATGAAAAATAGATGTTGTCCGAATCTCCACCCTGGCCGATATTCACACAAAATTTCACGAAAATCGGTCGGGCCGTTTCGGAGGAGTTCAATTACAAACACCGTGACACGAGAATTTTATATATTAGATTTTAATATAAAGTTTAACAATGTTCGCAACTAGCGATATACAGAAATTGACACAACAAATTGATGACACCTCATGAAGTTATTAAATAAGGTACGCTATTATATACACGTACATAAAAACAATTACTAACTTTGTCCATAATGATTGTTTTGTCGCTAGAACTAATAATTAATACGTATGACTGCCGAACACTCATATGTGACAGATAATCATTAAGATTGTGTCTCAGAAATATCCATTTATTAATGGCAACACAAGACACGTAAACAGAGGCGTTTATGTGCGTCATAACAATCATTAAGTGGGATCGCCGTACTTAATATGACATTTAAAATTTTCCTACCGACGCTAACTCTATCCGTTTATAGATCCAAGACGAAA